CAGCTTCTTCCCGTGGTCAATTATCTAGTTCCACGTCTGTGTCAGATAGATCTCCGGTTACCAGTCCCGCAAAGGATCAGCATCCCAGACTAAAAAATGAAGCCCCGACCCCCCCTCAAAGTCAAGAAAGTGCCACTGTTCCCATGGGCATAATAACCATCCCAGTTACTCAGAGAGCTCCAGCCACACCTGATGAGCAGTTGAAATTTGAAGCTGCACAATCCAACCTGCAACAAGCTGTATCAACGGAACAACCACCGAAAAATGCACCCTCCGGAGACTCCACCTTTTCATCTTTTCAACTTACCCCAGAGAACTCCTTCTCCTCATCCAAGAAACCATCAGATGGGCAGAATGGATCCGACCTTTCTAAGCAACAGCCACAATCCTCAACCCCTCCAGAGAGTCATCCCCTCATCAATGGCACGCTGCGGCTTGATACAACCAAGCCTGTATCAGAGACAATGTCCAAGGCCGGCGAACCCCGCTCAGCGCCAACGGAAGTTGGCCAGCAAGAGCGTGGAAATGGTTCACCGCTTCTGACTACAAGCCGCAAGGCCTCGGCTCCAATCGTATCTACGACGTCACATTTCCAGCCAGAACGTATGACAACCAGAGTCTCTTCAGGGGCAATCCGCCACAGGTCCGTCTCTGAAATTCTTGGGGAAACTCCTAAGTCGACTGTAGATAGGTCCTCAGATAAGGTTGTGTCGGAGCCATCATCTGCGGGATCCGAGGCTTTACAAGCCCGAAACCGTTTCAAGGACAGAAAGGAAATTCAAAAGGAGCGAAGCAAGCTCTCGACTGTTGTTTTCCCCAAGCAACAGTCTGGCGATAAGCACGAGGCTGCCTACTTGGTTCGCTCTCCTTCAGGATACACAACATCCATAAACGAAGAAAAGGACTACCTCTTTACTCTTTTCCAGGCCAAAGCACACTATCCACCTCGAAGCATGCACCTTAACTCCCTGCTCTCCACCGCTCACAAGACCCTTACAACCGCCAACCACTTCGTTGAATATCAGGAGCAAATGGACTGTCGCTCATTAAAAAGAATATACCAACTTCAGCACGCCAACCGCTGGCCACTTCGCCAATTGCAACGGTCTGCAGAACCTGAGCGCTCAGGTACACACTGGGATGTTCTGCTGGATCATATGAAGTGGATGCGTACTGATTTCAGAGAAGAGAGGAAATGGAAAATTGCTGCCGCTAAGAGATGTGCGGATTGGTGCGCGGAATACGCTACCTGTGGAAAGGAACGTAGGGCTGAACTGCGTGTACCGGCCCGAGTTCCTCTAGCCATTGATAAAAGTGCCGGAGTTGGTGACGATAAGGCGATCCAATCGTCTCAGGGTGACGGAGGCGATGACAGTCTATCCCATTCTCAACCTACGCCTGATTTAATCTCATCTATGGAAGATGATTCTGTCAGCGAAGGTTTCAACGATGACGTGCACCCTGACATGTCCGAAGGCGTTGTTCCCGCGGCTATATTCTCGCTTGGCTCGGACGAATTTACATTCGGGATGGAAAGGACTCCTGCATTTGAAAAGATTCTAGATGAGCTTCCGCTCTATACTCCTATGAGTATCTCACCAGAAACCAATTTACCGTTCTTTAAATGCCCTCCAGACTCGTCATGGCGAAAGGAGTTACTTCCCGTTTCCAAATACGCCACGGGGAAACTTGAATTTACCAGCAAGAAACCTCCTCGCAAACGAAGCCGTTATGATTATGCCAGTAATGTTGATGATATTGACGTTGAGCCCGTTGACGTCCTGCCCGAACAATCTAATGTTGCCCTTTTCCAACCTCAAAATAGACATATACGTGACCGTATCCATCCGGGGCAGGTATTCAGACCTCCCACAGAGTCACCCATGCCATCGCTAGGATTTTATGAGTCACGGCAGCCTTCTCAATGGACCTACGCTGAAGAAGATGAACTTAAGAGGATTGTAAAGGAATATTCGTTTAACTGGTCGCTTATTTCGTCCTGCTTGAGTTCTCCGTCGTTATATACGTCTGGTGCGGATAGACGGACTCCTTGGGAATGCTTTGAAAAGTGGGTTCAGTTGGAAAGCCTACCGACCGAGATGTTGAAAACTCCGTATTTTAGAGCATATACGTCGAGAGTGGAATCTGCACAGCGGACTGTTCTTGCTGCCCAGCAGCAACAGCAACAACAGCAAGCACAGGCGCAGTCGCAGCAACAGGGTAATAATAATCCACCTCCAACACCAACAGCAATTCTTCGGAGACGGCCCACTACGCCGATGAGAGTGGAACGGAAGCGGTCCTCCAGACACCTGGCACTCCTTGATGGCATGAGGAAGCTATCTAAGAAACGCGAGACGTTGCTTCAAAAGCAGCAACATGGTATGAATATTTTCACCCGATGTGGTTGGAATATTTTTTAGATGTTCAACAAACTAACTTTTCTCTAGCGTCTCACCTGGCAGCTTCACGCAAGATTACAGAATCAAATCAGCCGCGACCTCCAATCTCAACACCAGCAGAGTTCAGTCGCTTGAAGCATGAACGGGAGCTAAAGATCCAAGAGAGTCAGGAGCAATATAAGCAGGCAATGCTGGCACAACGAGTAAGTTAAAGCGTGCATTTTGCAGATATTCATAGACTACTTTTTTTTTCTTACTCATGATGTCATTTTCTAGTTGGCGATGGCACAGCGTGTTGTACAGCAGCAGCAGGCGGCGCAACAGCAAGCACAGCTTCAGCAACACCGACAAATGCCAAATCAGCAAGCTATACCCAACGGAGTGCCCCCCCGTACCACTGCTAGTGCGCCTCCGAACGGTGTTCTGCAAGCAATGGCTCCACCTGCTGGCGCTGGTATTCCCAATGGCGTGCCTGTTGGTGTAGCGATAGCTCAATCCCGCGCCCATCCTGGTATGCAGATGCCAAATGGAACTGCAGTCAATGGCATGCCGAATACTGGGATACTGAAAATGATACCCCAACCTGGTATTCCGCAGCAAATGAATGGACGTCCAGGTATTCCTACTCAAGCTTCTCCCGATAATGCACGCATCATCCGAGAAGCCAATCGTGTTCAAGAAGAACAGCAGCGAATGGTTCAATCACGGCAGCAACAGCTTCAAAACCAGCAACAGTCATTCATTCCCCCTCAAGGAAACCATTCCTCCCCAAATATGAACATGGCCACCATGAACACAAACCCGAACAACGCTACAATGCTAGCGTTCCAAGCAGCAGCAAGCGGCGTTGGCAGTCCTTCCTTCCATACCCCTTCTCTCGCCCAGGGCGTCTCCACCGCCTCCCCCCGCCTCAACCATGCCAACCCGCTCGTTAATGCTGGTGGAATCCCTACCCTATCCAGCATCCAAAACTCCATCCAGCGGAGCAACCCCAACATGACACCTGAGCAGGTCAACAAGCTCGCCACCGAGCGACTCCACCACATTCAACAACAGCGCATGTCACAGGTGGCCATGAACGCTGCAGCAGGCAACATGGGCTCCATGCAAACCAGTTACCAAATGCACCATGATGCAAATATGCATCAACTGCCCCACACAGGCATGCCGAATGGCGCGGGCTCTGCATTGCAAACTGCACAGACACAAGGGTACTCACCGCTTATGCGAGTGGCACAACCGGGCCAGCCGAATCGGATGGGTGTAAATGTTAACGGATCACCGGCGATGAATGCTGCCTTGGCTGCGCAACAGGGTCGAAGTGCGACGGCACAGGCTCACCGGAGCGTAAGTGGTCAAGGTGGGCCGGGACAAGTTCCTGGTCCTGGTCCTGGTCCTGGTTCCGGTCCCGGTTCTGGGAAAAGCCCACGGCCTCCACAGGTGCAGATGGCGTCTAGTTAAAATCCTCCGATGTCTCTCTCGAGCCATATATAATTTCATCAATAAATGAATGGCTTGACTTTTTGAGAATCCTGTCTTTCTTCACCTCGTGCTAGTCCTTCCCCACCGCCACACCAATAACAACCCACACCAACCATACCCTCCTTTCCTGTATATATATTTAACGAGGGTTTTGAGTTGATCACCTCATTAGTTTCCCCGGTTTTCATCCTTTACGGTTCCTTGTTGATTCTTTTATTCCTTTTTATAATTTATGTGTGAATCACCAGGCGAGCGGGATTTGGGTTGTTTGTTTCTTTTCTTCCCCATTGTGTTTTATACGGTCAGGCTAGCTAGGTATGCTACGTCGGTTTGCGTTTTCTTTTGAGGTTATCACTTTTTCTCTTCCTACTTTATTTAATTTTTTTTTCCCCTGCGGGTTTTACTGTTTCTCCTCTTTTTCGTGTTGCTCCTACAACACTTTTGTATTTGTATTGATAGAGACGGGTCGTCTTTTAAAGATTGACTACCATAACGGCGGATTTCTTGTGATTTGGCTTTCATTCTCATGTTAATGCGCGTTTAATGGATGGGGATGGAGGCGGTTGAGGTGAGTGGAGAGGGAGGCGAAGGTGGAGATGGAGTGAAAGAAACATGAATAACCAATGAGATGTCATGCAATGAGTGAATCGAATTGAATTTCGCATGAAGACAACTTCTTTGTAGTGCTGTGTTTTGCGCTTCGATCCATGATGCGTGGATTTACGTATTTGTTCAGTCAAGTGACTAGAATGATAAGATAACGTAGAGGATGTAATGTAGCCTTGCTAGCTATCAGTTTTAATCGAAACTGGAATATTTATATAATATAAATTCCTGCGAATCTGAAACAAACGTGAGTGTAATCGAGTGCTCTCGAGAGGGAAGGGAATGAATGGATCGTCAGACAACCCTATCACAAACCATGTGCTGGCGTTTAGCGCGTCTAATTTGCCGCCCTCCGCCGCCATCATTCTCTGACACAAACCTTCTCAACACCGCCTACAGAAGCTACAATAAAAGCCCATGTAGAGCAGTAATATTCTTTTGCCTTTGCTTTTCCTTTCCTTTTCCATTTACTTTTTAACTAGGCTGCATTTTTCATTCCACGCAGCAGTCATGCCGAGCCCAAACCAAAAACCGTTTTCCATCTCACTATTCCCCGCCTCGCAAAGGAAGAAAACACCCATATCATTACCCACCACCAAAGCCGCATCTGAAACTCTAAACCGCCATCCTCGCACCCTCCATGACCATGACTCCGGCAATGAAGATAACGATGAACAACCCATCGCGGAAGAAGTGACGGCCTTCGACCGCGACGCGGGCGGTGCGATAAGTGCACACGCGCGTGTGGAGAAGGAGAAACAACCCTTCGTTATTAAAGTTGAAAGTAAAAATAACTGGCAGGAAAGGCCGTGGCAACGGAAAAGAAAGGCATATAATTTGTTACCTAGAGAAGTCAGGGCGCAGCGGGAGGCGGAAGCAAATGCCGCCGCTGGTGCGGGTGGGGAAGGGAGCGTGGAGGTTGAGGGACCAAGCATGAAATATGGACTGAGTCTTGTGGAGAAGCCCAAATCCGACGAGCGAGATGGTGGTGATGTGTCGATAGTGGATACGGGTGGTGTGGATATACAAATGGAGGAGAAGGAGGCTGAAGCACCGAAGAAGCAACTGACGCAGGATGAGATTGCCTTGCAGGCACTTATTCGTGAAAGCAGGGGGGATGGAGAGGAGGCACCAAGGCGATCCGATCTTGTTATACCAGGGAAGAGGAAGGAGAGGGATGACGATGAATATGGAGATTATGGTGTGGAAGGGGAGCAATTCGATGAGACAAAATCATTCCGTGCTGATGTTGCTTCAAGACCTGATCCGGCTAGTCTGGCGGACTATAGTGCCGTTCCTGTCGAGGAATTTGGAGCCGCGTTGCTACGCGGTATGGGATGGAAGGATGGGGAGCCCATTGGTAAAGGCAAATACGGAAGTTCAAATGCGAAGCCTAATGGCCCCGGGTTAAAACCCCGCATACCGGCGAGAAGGCCTGGGTATTTGGGAATTGGGGCCAAGGAACTTCCTGGCAAGGACAAGGGTGGTGCTAGTAGCTCTGAAGTCGAGTTGGGTGCATGGGGAAAATCGTCCATGAGGAAAGGTAAGAAGCCAGGTGAGGGTCTCTATACACCTGTTCTTATGCGGAATAAGAAGACTGGGGAGATGATTACGCAGCAGGAGTTTGAAAAGTTGGCGAAGGAAAGGAGTGAAGGGAAAAAGGGAGAGGAGGGATGGAGGGAAAGAAGGGATAGGAATTTAATGCAAAATGGGAGAGGTCGGGATCGCCGTGTTGAGCGGGATTCTGAAGACGAGAGTGATGATGGAATTGACGGTTTCGAGTCGCGTCGTCGGAATGGAAGTGGAATATCTGGTAGTCGGGATCGGGATCGGGGCGGGGATAGGGATAGAAATAGGGACAGAGATAGGAGGAAACGCTTCGACGATCGAGAAGGGGTTACAAGTGATAGCGGGAGAGATGACTGGCGCCACAAAGAAAGTGAAAGCGATCGTCGCAACCGGGATCGGGAGCGAGAGAGAGGCAAAGATCGAGAAAGAGAACCCAAACACAGGAGCAGTGGGAAAGTATATGATGATGACTACAAATCCCGCCATTCGTCGTCTTCAAGACATGGTCGTGATTCTGGAGACCCGCGTCGGGATAGGGACAAGGACAGGGATATGTCTTCAGTGAAAGACCGAAGGGATCGTTATGATGATGATAGTAGGCGGCGACCAAAACGTGAGGAGGCGTATTAAAATGCATCAATGGTTCTTTCGGTTCTGTTTCGAGGAGGGAGAATAAATGGCACATATATACCCAGTTCAAGGATTTGTTTTGGTTTTCATGATGTATTAGATATTGGATGTACAATAGTTGGGCATTCCTAATCCAAAGAATGTCAAGTTACTCACGAATTTGTTGCGTTAGCGAGGTGATATAAAGTCTTGTAAAATCTCGAGTACTTGTTCCCTTCTTTAACTCCTTGCATGAAAAAATATGATACACCTTTAGCCCCTTTATCTCAGTAATGTCCAATACACTTTTTTCAAACCCAGCATTACAATATATATTACATCAAAAGCAATTAACAGTGGACATTCAAGTTCCAATCATTCTCACATCTTGCTCCTGTCCCAACCCCGTCTCACCCGCAGCACCACTAATGCCTCCATCCATTTCCCCAAGGATCCACTCCGCCAAATAGCTCTCGTCTACAAGCTCCTCAATCCTCTTATAATGTCGTTCTGTATATGCCACCAGAGTATCCAGAATATCCTTCATGGACTGCGCCTTATACTTATTCCGACCGCCCGCTGCAGCACCTGATGGTGGCGCACGGCGATGGCTAGCTAGGTCGACAAAGGTCGAGAGTGGGTATGACTTGGACAATGCGTAGATGATACGCTGTGCAACGGGAGCAGTTTTGGCATTAGTATTCCAGTCACGAACGCGGAGAAGAAGTGAGTAGAGATTATCCTTGTCGAGAGACTGAAGAACGGTGTCAATGTCCGGATTTCCGGTCAGGCTCTGCTGCTGCTGTTCGCCATCTGCTGTTTGGGATGCGTCCATAGCTGCGGTGAAGAGTGATAGGAGCCGGGCTGGATGGTTGAGTTGTAAGGCAAGGGTGATGGCTTCACGGTAGGCGCCAGCATGTATGTAGTTCTGCAGCTGTTGGTCTTGCTCAATCCGTTCGGAATTGGCGTTTACTGCTGCAGACAGCGTGGCGGATGTGGTGTCTTTCCAGAATGTGACGACTGAGTCGGCTCCACCTGATATTAGAGCAAAATCGGGGGGGTCAGCGTTGTAATTGGTGTCTGAGGAGAAAACAAGAGGTGTTGCCAACGCCCAGACACGGTCCTCGTGGTTGTCAAGGGTGGTTTCCAATTCACCAGTGTACGGGGACCATATCTTAACTAATCCGTCGGCAGCAGCTGAGGCGACAAGAGGATGGACCTGGACAGCGCCGCGGGAAGATATATCTTCATTGTCGCTATCGATTCGTGGTGGTGGTAGCCAAAGCAGTTTTAGAACGCTGTTCGTATGTCCTTCGAAAGTGAGGAGACAGCTGTAATCTGAAAGACTCCAAAGCTTGATGGTCTTGTCCGCTGAACCAGTAGCAACGACACCCCGACTTGTACTGGCACCTGAATCCGAGGTTATGACTGGGGTGTCTTTAGGAGCGAATCGGATAGACCAAACGCCTCGTTTGTGGCCGCGAAGGATTCCTAGAACGGAGCCGTCTTCCACTGACCAAATTTTTGCGGTACGATCTTGGGAGGCTGAAGCGAATAGGCTGGAGGCATAGTTGATGTCAAGAGCGTTGATATCCTTGTCGTGGGCTTTCCGGGTATAAATTGCCTTTGGTACACTGATGTTCTGGCCTTTGGACGCTAATAGTTTAGAAGTGTCCCATCGTTTGATGGTACGGTCTTGCGATCCAGTGAAAAGGAAAGGTGGTGGATGGTTTAGCGGATCTTTATACGCTGGAGAGCTTGACGGGGGAGGAGATCGGGGAAAGGCAATAGCACCTAGGGACTCTGCATGACCAGAAAGGCTTGCAAAACAGGTGAAAGATGATGACTCAGGGTCAATCTGCCATAACCGTGCCGTATTATCTTTGGCACCAGTTGCTAACCAGCACCCAGACCAGTCAACATCAAGGCAAATAATAATATCCTCATGCCCTTCCAAATGGGCGACTTCTGAACCAAAATAATTCTGTTCGCCCCCAAGCTGTGAACATGCAGCATCTTGCTGCTGCGTAGATATAATTCTTATGTATTCTGTGTTGGTTGCCAACGCAACCAAGGATCGATCACGGCCGATACAGGCTAAATCGATAACCTCATCGTCGTTTCCAGATATACGACGCACTATAGGTAGTGGGTTGATCTTCATCCCTGGCTTTAACGACAAAAGGGGTTCCGTCAGATGTAGTCTCAGAGTCTGATCAGTATGGACCGTCATGACCCATGGCAAATTTGCAGAATATAGGCATATAATAATGCTTTCTTGTTCCGGGCCGGGATCTTGGTCCTTTGTGACTTCGCTTCCCCTATTTGGATCCCATATTCTCAGTCGGCCATTTTCTCCGCCAGAGTAACAGAGCGATTCGTCTGACAGAAAACCTGCAGCTTCAACACATTCAAGGGCTGGGATAATTCTTCGTGTCTTCCAGGTCCTGGCATCCCATAGAATCAACGTCTTATCTCGGCTGGCGGACAAAAGCGCATTTTCTGAAGTTGAGAATGATAGGCTACGCACAACGGAAACATGTGAATCAAGCGAAGCGATACTTTTCCTTTTATGAAGATCCCACACTCTGATTTTGCCTTCCTCACTAGCCGAAGCGAGGCGGAACCCTACGGTGTTCATTTCGGCGTCGATATTTGATGAGCGCTTAAGCCTTTGGCTCTTCTTATTATCGGAACCCTCATCAGCGGTATTGGATGTTGCTGCTTCAAAAAAGCATAGGGCGGATATCACTCCTCCGTGGCCATGAAAAGTATGTGTCACAAATCCCCGTCGCACATCCCATATTTTTATTGACCCATCGGAGCTGCCCGTGGCTAACAACGTTCCGGTCGCATCGATAGCGGAAGTTACCACGGGCGCCGTGTGAGGTTTGAGGGTTCTGAGGAGGTCCGGTTGTATCGATAATGAGGGCTCGTCGGACTGTGCCAAGGAGAAAATCCGCATTGACAACGATCGCGAGCATATTACTAAATGTGATGCTGACGGAGTTACTAGACATAGAGTTAGGAATAAATTCAGATTGGGGGTTAAACGAGGAAATCATACTTGACAAGCTTGTAACTACCTCTCCATCCTGGAGCAGTGGTTTTCGCTGGTCAGCTTTACCAACAGCAAGTGATATTGCATTCCACTAACTTACCCCCTCAATCGTCGCCAGTTGCCCTCCAGTTTTGAAATCGGTAATTAGGACATCTTCCCCAACGCAAGTCACCAAAAGCCGGCCGCTGGCGTCGATTGCAACACTACCGCCCGTATAAATCGGGCGGATTGTGTTTGCCACTTCGAAGGTAGTTTTGATATTAATTTTTGACATCGTCAAGGGTAGATTATAAAAATTATACCGACATTGCTAAATACATAAGAAGGACAATTTCCAATGCAAATATCTGGTGTGAGAAGTGTATATTTCGAATACATGAAAAAGGGAACTCCTTAATTTTTTAGGGTTTGGTCACTTTGAAGAAAAAAGTTTATCGCAAAGAACTAAGCGGTGGTCAGTGCGTTTAGCCGCCACAGCCGCCCTTGCTAATGACGCCTGCGGAGCCTCACAACCGTCGCAACTGACTTGATGATATCCATATATACTGTTTATGATATTGAGGGGTATTTACGACATACAACGCCGACATTAAGGTACAGGTTGGTTTTGGCATACGAAGTTATGGGCATCACCTCTTTAGTATTACACTTTTCCTTTTATGTCCTGCTCATGAACTCTTGTGCTTGCCTGGCAGTCGTAAATCATGGGGAGGCAACCCTATATGAACTTGCTTGCACTGGTATGTAACTGTCAAGTCTCTTATTGCTTATGGAGTCTCCTCCCAAGATTCTGATGTTTTGCATTATTCTTCCGTTTATCTATGAGTTCCTCCTGCTTAGCCCATCCCCTTTAAGCACTCCATGTCTGGGTGCTATCCGTAATATAACTCAATACCAAGTGCACCAGTTTCATGTATATGTTTTTGGTTTGGAGGTTTCACAGCTTCACAAAACACCCATATAGACTACCTCTTTGTATATATATTGCTTTTTTCTGTTGTTTTACTAATCTGTGCAATAGGGGCGGTCACCGTACGAGGCGCCAGAAAATCCCCCTCATGGTTATGTTGCTCCGGTACGTCGTGCTGAAGATAGCGTCAATGCCGACGGCTACGTTCAGGAGTATGATGCCCGGGGTCATCCAATTAATCCCTCTTCCAAGGCTCTGGCCAGGCAGCTCCGGAGGGCTAAAAATGACATTCTCTCCACGATGGGAATTGTCGTCAGTGGCGAGGACGGCAACCTAGGAATTTCAAAAGAGCGACAGCACATGAGTCTGTTATCTACAGAAAATGATTATGGGCTTGCTATGGCAACATTAGATCAAGTTTTTATGTTTTGTTCATCTTGGTGGACGACATCGCTTGCTGCCCGTATCCAAGTAATATTACCTACATCTCGTATGTTTATCCCTGCCAATTTATATAAACTGACGCTATTTCTCCAGACTTTCAAAAAGTACACCCATGTGCCCTTTATGCAAATTATACACCTTGAGAGGAATGAGCTCGGACTCTTCAGCTTCTACTGTGGTGGCCTTCCTACCTGGACTGCATCCTTCGTCATCTCAGTTTGTCGGAATCACTTTCTAGAACCCGCATTAGAGTACCTTCATGGCAAGGTTTTAGCATCATTTGACAATGACACTTATAAATCTTCTGCTCGAGTAATATTTATGGGACTCCATTCCAGGTGACCCCTTCCCCTCCACATCAGTGTAGCATACGATTTACTAAAATATTAAGCAGCTTCAATTTCGCACTTCTAATCCTTCTGGGACAAGCGCATCTGTTTTCTCTTCTACAAACACTTCACATACTACCCGCCTGGGCAGCACCCTCGCTTCGCTCTCTACTTCCATTTAGCCACACCTCACTGATCCAGCTTCCATCGCTTCCCTCAACATTTTCTGCCTATGCTATTGGAAACTTCGGCATAAACCTACTCACTTCGCCTTTTACGGGGGTGTATATGTATGTCTATCTCCGACCGCTAGTTGAATCTAGAATTTACCGTATCCTCCGACGGAGACTTCCTAAACCTGACCGCCCGGATAACCTATCGCTTCGTGTTGCGGCGGAAAATGACCTAATTGAGTGGACGGTACCATCACTTGGCGGACGATCCGATGAGGAATACCACCGTAGCGATCTTACAATAAGTGAAGAGTTGAAATACGAACTACGAGTTTTTAGATATTGGGTTCTAGGCCTTCTTGGCTTTCATGTTGAAGAGCGATCAGCTGAACTACTTAGAAGATCTTCAACATCACGATCAATCCAACATCATCTTGAGCAGATAAACCGCGATTTGGATGCAAGCACAGCCCCTATGGTGGAACATTTATATCATCCAGAGGACGAATTGTTAATGAGTTCAATGCATGCAAGGGTGGAGCAACAATTAAGTGGTCACGTTGAAGGTGGCCGACCAAGAACCCCAACTCCAGATGCTTCGACGCAACAACAGTTTGACACGAACCAGATATTGAGCAGTGATGAGCAACGCATGTCTCAATCTCCCCTTCAACTTGCTGCAGATTACTTCGATGGTGATTCACAGTCCCAAGGGAGAACTGCAATGGAAGAAACATTCAGGATAGATACCTCACTATCTCCACAGCTCCACGGCCCACATCCTGACGAATTCCATCATCATCATCACCGTCATTCCTGCTCTAATACCCTATTTTCCCACCCGTCAACTCCAGAATCATCTCCCCTCCCCTCACCTCGCGTGCGTGCATCACTGGTCCATCAAAATTCCGACGTAATCACGATGCAACTAGAATTACTGCGGAGCAATCATGGCTCCCCTGCCCAAACCCGAACAAACCAAGAGAACACAAGTACGACGATTGTCCCGCTTTCAACCGGTATAGCGCAGGAAACTGAACTCACCGCGAGCGAAATTGACCGCACAGCAAACGAGCTCCTTGACTCCATCCTCTCAAACCGTGGCCCAGGCGTCCTCCACCCGGACCAACCTCCCGATCATAACATCCTTCCACAAACAGATGATTTAGAAGAAGTAGCCCAATTCAACTCTATCTCCAACTCCCGACTTTTTGAGAATTTTGAGGAAGCGCAATATGCCGCATCCCTTCCTCCAGCCGCAACTACAGCGGCCACAGAACATCCACCCAGTCACGAGCCATCTGAGGTCCCCGCATCCTCCCAACCTACCCACCAGGCCGAACCCGCTACCGCCACCATAGGTGATGTCAACAGAAGCCTCTCACACCCAATCTCAACCCAACCTCCCCACCGCTCCCGCTCCGAACGTTTCCTCCTCCCCGACCATCGCGTAACAATACTCTCGTCATTACCAGTCGACTCACTCTCTTCCCATCTAGCTTTTCTCTTAGGCTCCCTTATCTTCTACCCTCTCGAATCCATGTACCTGCGTAACCTCGCAACGCAATATCTAGCATCTCCTCATCTGCTTGCTGTACTGCCTATTGGCTCCCCTGCTCCTAGTACAGCCACGATTCTCGGTCTCAGGACTGATGTGAGGAGTGTGACTGCCTTGTGTGGTGGCGGGTCGAGGGCGGATATGCTTGCGTATTTGGGGAAGATGGGGCTTGCGATGGGAATGCAAGCGTTGGTTAGTGCTGTGGCTTGGGGGATGGGGACGGCGTTGACAGTGCTGGTGGGGACGAGGAAGTTTGGGTGGGGAGATTTGTAATGTTTCGGTGCTTTGCCGACGTGTGTGCATGTATGTTATCAATTTGGAGGAGGCATTTTTGTGATATGTTTTCATGGTGTGTATTTATATTTATATTTCTGACTCATACGTCATCTTATGTGGATATGAAGATTGGGGGAATTCGCCCAACGCTGCGCGTCCGTGATTCTGTCCTAAATTGATATCTAGCTTATATATTTAATGATGATATACCAAAATTGACTACAGTATTATTCTAGATATATAATTAAATTTACTGGTTGAAGAAATGGGAAATTTAATTTTCATGGTAACAAAGTCTAGCAACTAATCCCTTCATACCAAAGTTTCTAGAGGTGTGAAAAAAAAGGAAAGAAACTAAACTCAATAGCATCTAGATATCTGCCAGAAATACATAGTGTTACACACCATGCCAACCAACTATTCAAGTAACAGCCCCTAACCCTAACCTTTGCCCTTACCCTTCCCCTCCCCACCAACTTTCCTCCTCTCCCACACCATCAAATACCCCTCACGCGTAAAAAGCGTCTCACTCTCCGCCCTCTGCACCCACAAGTCCTGAATCTCAAGCCACTCCGGCCCTTTCTGCTGCTGCACCTGCCCGTTTTCAACACTCATAGCCTTGTCATGCAACTGAACGAGCCAGGAGACCTTATCATTCCCCGCACCCGCGCCAGGTGTCGTCGAAGAAGTAGATGCGCCTCCAACGCCAGTTCCCTTGGTTGTAATGCCGGAGGTGGTGGAAGAGCCCTCGCTGCTATCGCCAACTCCTGGAGCGGTGACTGTGGCGTCGAGAATGACGTTTGCGACTAGATCGTACCAGATGGGTTCACCGGGGGCGCAGATGGAGGTGTTTGGCTCGACGTAGGGTGACATGTCTAGGGAGCGTGGGGAAGGAAAGGTGACGATTGTGGGGTTGCGTTCGGAGACGAATTTGTTTTTGCTGAAGCGCTTTATGTGGAAGAGGAGGTAGGGGGGTAAAGGGTGGAGGAGGCGATGACGCACACGATGTGAGAGTTTCTCGGATGCGATGAGGCCGTTGTATTTGTTCAGAAGGGTTGTGAGGGGCACCTGGGGGATTACGGATTCTGCGTTGGTGGACTGGAATAGTGGAGTGGGAGGGAGGTCGAGGGTTAGGATTAGGAAGGGGGTTGTTTGGGAGGTTGTGCTGCTGGATTCGGAGAAGACCAGGCGGGCGTTGGCGGCGTCCGAGCGCGCGGTTATGGCCTGGCTTTCGATGCGGAGGTGGCCTTGGAATGCGGTGTGGATTACGCTGGTTGGGGTTGGGGATGGGCGTTTGGAGCCTCCCAGGCTGAGGTGGAGGTTGTTTAGGAACCAGGAGAGGAATTCGACAGGGTCGGATTGCTGGGTAAGTGTGAATCGCTTAGAGGAGCGGAGGGCAACTTCCTGGAGTAACTCGTGAGGTGAAACGTGAGATTTGAATGCGCGTGGATTCCACAGCTTGCGCACTAAGATACCGAAGCGGAGTGGGAGTTGGGGAGTTCCTGGGGTAGGGAATCGGTGGAGAAGGAAGAAGTTCCTGATGGGGCGGACGTGGGCGAGAACTTGGACAATGACATTGAGGTAGTCATTGGATTTGATATTGTTCATCCCAACGAATCCTGTATGCAACACTGTTAGTATGGACTATTTCGATAAGGAGAGGATCTCGGATTTACCGGGTCTGTATCGCTTGCCGGCCAAATCCACAGCATCAATAACCACCTTGTCAAGTTTCGTAACCTCTTCCTTTTTATACTGCGGATCAACCACATATTTGATGTCGTCTAAGCTGCTGCTCTTCACTTCATACCCTTCAGGCAAGACATACACCTTCTTCGTCTCCATATTCACGAAAACGTGATGTCCAACATCGAGCGCATGGAAGTACGCATGCGACTTGGGACCCCGGCCCTGATAATACCTCCCGCAAACTAAGCATGCATAAACATTAATATTGGACAGCGAGACGGAGCACTGCTTTTCAAAATCGAAATCTAGCACTGATCGCTGTATTGTATCCAGGTAAAGGTCACTATAACCCTCCGTCGGTGCAGTTTGGCGAGCAGGAGCGGAAACTGCTGATTCCTCTTCGTCCTCATCGGAAATAGGAATTTGATGTGCAGAACCTTCCTCAATCTCTTCCTCTTCCTGGTCCGCTGCTGCTAAGATGTCTTTCCCATTGCGTTCGTCGTCTTCCCATCGTCGCTCGTGGAGCGGGCTACGATGGTTGGTCTGCTCCGATAGTTGTTTGCCTTCCTGTACGCCTTCGACTCGCGAGCGCTTTGAGGCTGGGGAGTTGACGGACGGCGCGTCCTCAAGCAACTCTTCAGCTGGTCTTTTCGTCATTGTGTAAATATGCGGTGAGCAGCGATATTGAGATGTCCTTCGAAAGGAGGATGTTGAGGTCTGCTTCTTGCATTGGAAGTTTGCTGGTTGCTGCTCTTGATGCAAACAGAGCAAACATAGCAAACATATCTGGATAAAAGCATTAGAGCAACTACAGCACTTACGTGAGCTATGGGATATCTGCATCTGTGCAGCGGAGTACACTTGATGATATGATGGATCTAAGATAAAATATAAAGACATCGCTTACGCGGCAACAAGGGTTCATTTTCAAATCGGAGGTCATTAAAAATTGCTATGGTACATCGCTGCCCCGGAACAAAGCTAACCAAAGTCTATGCGGGCGCGACTTGTTTACTGTTATCAAAATCTACTTCTTCGATGCCCTCCTTTCTCACTACTTTTACCAATACCTGTAAAACATAACCATCATGACATCAGCAAAATGCAGTCGACGGAAGAGGGGGAACATGGACATACGCCTTTGAAGTCGATTGGTAATCTCCGCTTGAGCTCGTCAGTGCACATCTGGAGAAGCTTCAAACCTTGCTCAAAAGTGATATCTGGGTGGTGGTGTTTATCGAGGATCGATAGGCAGTAGTATCTGGTGTATCGTCAGACAGTAATTCTACACGCAATTTATTGCTGCGGTTCCACAACACCCCCCAACTGCAAAAGCGGGACGGGAATGTGAATGCGAGTTGTTCAACATACTGGGCATAGCCGTGTGCAGCATATGGCACCGGGGCAAGCGCCGCTAGGTAATCCAGCCAGTACAGACTGGGTTTCTCCGTGATGGGATCTACACCACCCAGCAGGAGGTTGACGGTGTAAGGTCGTCTAGATCGTAGGCTGCGGGAAAGCTCTCCTCGTACGAAGTTGGCGACGGCCGACGGGCTGAGTTCAGTTTCGTTTCTCATGGAATATAGTTGGACGTTTGCTTGAATGTATTCGGCAAATTGAACTAATTTGGAATAGAAATAGCAGGTTGGTCGTTGGATTCAAAAATGGATTGGTTCTCATACACGGTGAGGTGCTCGGAGGTAAGATAAACACACCTGTATCACCAGCTTCTCCGGAAAATGCCATGAGGGTATGCTTGTTCAGCTCCCGCGTCTTGTCATCTGCGGCCTTGAGAACAGTGGGGCCTCTCATGGCAGCTTTGGACGCCGCAATGAGAGTGAAGTCCTTGCCAGTGATACCAAGTAAGACCTCCCTAGCCGCAGGTTAGCATTGCATACAATACGGCTTCGACTTGGCCCATATTCGTTGGGGCAAGACCTACATGACATGCAACAGGTAACGCTCTGGGTATTTTTTTTTTTTTATTTAAAAAAATGCCTAGGGTCCTCAAACACCAGCACTGGTTGTTACTCTGTCTCCTGCTCTATGGATTGGGGTACATGGGGGTATCTGGGTAGTATCTGGGTATCTGGCACCGGAGCATAGAAGAACGCCGTGGATGTTTTCTGTCGTTAAGGTATTACGCAGCTACCGCCCTTAGCAACGCAGCGAGCTTGCGGCCTGCACCTTACCTAATCAGGGAGAGAGCCGCACTTGTGTAGGCGTAATATTTATCCGATACATGTACAAACAGTGCAAACACGACATGCAAGAAAAATAGACAAAACTTTTGTGGAGGACAAGCAGTTGATTTGTATACGAGAAGCAGGTGAACAGAGGAATATATTTTCTTAGTAGTTAAAAGAGGTTTTTTTTAGTGGCCAACCTGTGCCATGTCCTCTTTCTTCACATTGCCGGCTTCCCAGCGCAAACGGAAGAGAGATGATCGGGTTGCCGCTCCAGGTTCGAAGAAGAGGGGGGTGGCAGGGAAAGGCAGCAAGGGCGCAGAGGACGGTGAACAACGAGAGCAGAGAAAACAGAGAGACGAGTCTATATCCGGAAGCGAATCAGATGACGGTGACTTGTCACAAAGTGAAGACTCAATTGACGAGAAGGAGGGTTCGGAGGAGTCGGAGGACGAAACCGCAGCGGATCGGAGATTGAAACTGGCCGAGAGATATCTGGAAAACATAAGGGAGGAAGTGGATGAGGTTGGCTTTGATGCTGCGGAGATTGACCGCGATTTGATAGCCGAGAGATTGAAAGAGGATGTGGTATGTTGGTATTTGGCAAAAGACTCCACGTTACCAACTCATTTATCCTGAGCTCACATGTTGTCCGTCTCTTCCATTTGTCTAGGATGAATCCAAAGGACGGATATGTCGACAAATAAGCTCGCAATTATCCTTTTCCACTGCATCCCATTCCTTCTTCCGCGCAGATACACAAAGCACCACTGCAATCGCAGTACATTTCCCTTTCGTCTATACAGTTTCTAAGGATAAAACGTTGATCAAATGGGAGCTAGCCGTCCACCACCCACCCACAGAACAAAGGATATCCCCTAGAAACGGAGAGTCCACGCGAGCCAAGCGCTCCCAGAGAAAAAAGCCGAAGAAAATCAAGTCGGTTCGGGGCCTACAGGAATCTGCTGAAGGGGGTGAGCCGCAGGGCCACACGGGCATTATCCTGGCCGTTGCAGTATCCCCATCAGGGGAATTCGTGGCAACCGGAGGTGCAGACCGGCGCCTAATAATCTGGGATGCGGAAGCACTTACACCCCTGAAAACTTTCACCCAACACCGCGACGCCGTGAGCGGGCTATCATTCACACGGCGCATCTCCTCATCAAGCTCCGGCGAACAGCTCTTCTCCGCATCCTTCGACCGCACCATAAAAACATGGTCCCTCAGCCCTGGCGCGCATGCTTATGTGGAGACCCTGTTCGGTCACCAAGACCATGTCACTGCCATTGATTCCATGGCGCTGGACCAGTGCGTTAGCGTTGGTGCCCGCGACCGTACGGCACGCCTTTGGAAGGTGGTTGATGAGACGCAACTTGTCTTCCGAGGGGGTACCTCTAAGGGTAGCTCGTACGTTGAGGGCTCACTGGACTGCGTGGCTGTATTACCGCCTACGCACTTTGTTACGGGCTCGGACTCGGGAGCTATATCGCTCTGGTCAATACATAAGAAGAAGCCACTCTACACCATCCCGCAGGCCCATGGTGTTGACACCGTGCCACCACTGGACGAACTGTCCTCAGAGCTCGACCCGGCAGTTGCGAAAAATAATACGAGAAACATTTCGCCCAATCCTCGATGGATAACTGCTCTCACTACCCTCCCAGGGACAGATATTGTTCTCAGCGGTAGCTGGGATGGGTGGATCCGCGCCTGGAAGATTTCTGAAGATAAGCGGACTATCATACCACTGGGCCCCGTCGGTGCGTCATCACCACCCTCCAATGCCACAACTGGGCTTACAACCAACGGCAACGGCAACGGTAACATGGGCCTTGACATGCCCTTTCCTTCCTCTGCGTCCGCTCAGCAGCCCCTACCACTTCTACGAGGTGTCGTTAACGACATCGCCGTATTCGAACGACGATCCCCAGATGAGGCGAAAGCTACTATTAGCAAATCCAAGTCAAAGTTGAAGTCGAAGTCGTCTCAGCTGGGTCAGGAACAGAATGGTCTCTGCATCGTGGCTGCACTAGGAAAGGAGCATAGGCTTGGTCGGTGGAAATATTCCAACAAGGAGGAGAATGGGAAGTGTGGTGATGGGACGGGGTTGGGGGGTAGGAACGGGGCTGTTGTGTTTGAAGTGAATTTCTTGGGAGAGGGAGTTGGGGAGGGTGAGGGCGCGAGGCTGGTAGCGGATTTGAGGATTTGAATTAATGGACGGCAAAGAGTAGGGCTTTTCTTTGTGTGGAAGAGTCAAGTTGGAATTAGGTCAATGTGATGTACTGATAGAGAAGGGAGTCGTGTTCCTTATTTCCACCGAACTCCCTCATGTTTATTTTCTTCTTCTTTTCTTTTCCTTTCTTTTTTGGCAACGATGATTGCTGGACTACATGTGAATATGTATGCATAATATCAATATACCTACCGTCTTGTTAAGTGCTATACCAATGATATTCCTAGCTTTTATTGCACTGTGATCGTCCTCCTGAAATGTATTTGACTGTCGTCAATTGACAGGTTTATCTCCTTTGTGAACCTCCGCCCCTAAGCCATCACAAATCACAATTTATATAAGGCTTCCACCAACACAAACTCAATGCTCTACAAATTTCCAGCATATATTCTCCTAAATCGACCATGTTTACAAGAGGTTGCTATCTCACTTTTGTGAAAGAATAAATCTCAAGTCAGGGCTAAAATATGTATTGCACCATTATTATGAAATCATGACCTCCTGCCCTGAAAGAAGGGGGAGAAGATAAAAAAAACACCAATAACGAAAAGAAATCCAGATCCAACACCGATTCTTAACACCTCGCTAATTTGAATATTCTTTTTGTTTCTTGCTTCTAGGTTTTTTCTTTCTTTTTTTGCATGTGTAAGTACCAAATCAAATGTATGTTGTGTTGTACGTGTGATATGTTTCCAGAACACATCCCACAATATTTTCGCTGTTGAGTTTTTTCTACGCACGCCATTGCCGACTTCGATCTAATGGATCGTGAATAGCTAAGTGGGGATGAGAGAAGAAAAAAGAAAGAAAGACAGAAATAGGATGTGGGTATTTTGTTTGTGTATGTATTCTAGGAAATTCAGGGTAAAATATAGAGCAAATCGAAACGGGAAGAAAAAGGATATCATCAAATAAAACATGTTATAAAATACAAGACAGAAAGCAAGAGTATGTAAGAGGGCTTGGAAAAATGCAGCGGCGGACTGGAAACATGAAGATGACAGCGGGTTTGTCAGATTCGTTTTCGCCTGTTGATGGGTAATGAGGGCATTATGAGTGTAATAAAAATCGCAAGTGCATGGAGTCCGTTTAATGGCGATAAAGGATGGGTTGGGGAGCTGCCAAGGGAATCTATAAGTGATGAAACGACGGAGGCGCAGATGCTCTAATTTTAACGATCAAATAGCGGGTTCTCGTGGACACAGGAGCAGCCAAGACATCCTGATCAGTACTGGAATTTTCCATTATATGCCGATTATGCGGGACCGCAAAGGCGGCCATGGCTCTTCGATCTTTACTCGGTTAGAAGAAAATGTAATAATAAAGAACAGAGCGCGTCACAATGAAAATACAGCTGCATTATGAAGCACTCAGCAATTACTAACCATGGCCTGGCTTCTCGTCCGACGGCTTCGGCGCTGATTGAGTCGTACCCGATCTGGCCGTGATCCTCTTCGACTTCTTCTTGCTGGCCTGACGGGGACGTCGGAATCATCGTCAAGTGTGATTGGGCTATTGGCGTGTGAACCCGACACCTGGGCTTGATTTGAAACGTTTGTGATCAAGTGGCTTTCATCGCTATGATGGTCGTCATCATCATCATCATCATCATCACTAACTACCGCCCTTCTGCTAACAGTTGTTGCACTGCTTTGGAGACGGCTTGGTCGTTCAAAGGAAGTGGACGATGTTTGACGCCTCTGACGCCTTTGTTGAATTGCTCTTGTTGGCGATCTTATGGGCTCGTTGTCCTCGTTGTCCTCATCATAAGCAGCATCAGCAGCATCAGCATCATCTCTATCCTCTTCTATGTCCTCTTCCTCTTCATATTCATCGTCATCGTCGTCATCGTCAAGGGTGATTGTTTGTCGCACAGCGGCTCTTGTCGATCTTCTGGAGGAAGATAGATTCTCCGTGGAGTGTCCATCAAGCTCCCCATCGGAAATTACCGTATTCTCATCAACCACTGTAGAATGATCGGTTTCCCCAGCCTCTTCTACAGGGCCGTCATCGATAAAATCTGACATGTCAGAGTCATGGGTATCTTCATCTTCGCTACGATAGATGTGGCCGTGTATTATCGACGATGCGTCGGTATCATGTTCGTGCTGGTGGTATTGATGCTGATGGTGGTGTGCGTTAAAATGGTTACCTGGAGCATTTGCCCCGTAAAACTCGCTCCAGTCCATGCCATCGTCATCAATGGCCGAGAATCCGTCCTCGATATCATCAGCTGCATCCGTAATTGTTATCGAAGCATCATCATCCGTGATGTACTCTGAATCTGTGTATCCCTCGATCGCAAAGCCACAATGCAGACATCCCCCTTCTTCGAGCTCCCAAGCACATCGAGGACACCGTGTAACACCATCCATGACGTCATTGATTGGTTGGATAAAGCGTCCGGCGCATTTGAAACATCCTTGGAATAGACCTCCAGTGGACGGATCTGGATTGTGCTTGTCTATTTCGATTTTCTCAGTCTCTGCACGCTTGTTCGAGAGATGTTCCGCTGTGGTTTCATTATTTTCTAGCAACTCCGCTCGGCTGATAAACATCTGCACGATTTCGCGGATCTAGACACAGTAAAGTTAGCCTCGTTTGAAAATATAAAGATAACGGAGGTGCGCTTACCAGATACGCTGGAGCAGGTTGGGTTGACACAATTGCTCGACAGTCTGGACATGTCTTTTTCCGTCGATGGCTCACAAACCATTGTGTAAGACACTGTAGCGGGTTAGTTACTTATCATGAGTCGATGGACCCCGCCCTAGGTTTGGAGAAATTACACTGTAACAGAAAGTATGCCCGCATGCGAGGGTGAACGGTTCGTAGAGTGGCTTGACACAAACACCACAGGATATCAGAGATCGAATATCCTCAACATGGCCTTGCACGGTCCTTAAAAGCTTAAACAGGTATCATTGTCAGTCGTCAGGAAACAACGTCGACATTCTATTACTGCACTTACCCCTGACGAGTCGTGTTTTCCAGACCCCGCAGTTGGGCCTGGAGCACCAATGCCCACTGCAGCAGACATGGTTTCTCACGTCGCCAAAATCGTACGCTAAATCTGCACACAGTATAGGCAACAGACTGAGTAATGGGGAAAGTTCTCTTTGATGTTGAAGGCCGGGATTGGCGGAAATTGGGCGGCTGAGGTTGTTGTTGATAAGCTACCTTAACTGAGAGATAGAACTGTTCTCCCGGCGAAGAAGGTCCAAAAAAGCTGAAACGAGAGACGTAATACCGGTTGGCTGCCTAGAGAGACAGTGGTCATGACAGGAGGTGAGGAGATTAGAAGAGACAAGTAACAATCTGAGAGCCGTTGAAATATTTTAGGCCTTCTTGACTTGAAGCCAATTAATTATCAAATCGATGGACGTTAGAACTCTCAGGAGGTTTGGCCCGTAAGTAAGCATCACGTGATAGTGATATCCATTGAATGTCAGGTGACTAGTTATTACATCCACGCACGATCAGAGATACTTCCACAGCTGAGTCACATCTTCTTCTCCTGTTTCATTGTTGATCTTCTGAGGTTCTCTTGGTTTCATTCTTCATGGCGGCTGGGAAACCGTCATGTTGCTTTTCACAGCCTGTGAATTTAAGCCAGTCATTCTGTCAACATTACCAGATATTTAAGTTCTTCTCCAGCTCTTGTAGTTAACAGCTCAGCGCTGACCCTGCTATCTCTTAGCATCATTGCGACCCCTTGAAGACTTGCTGCCACAGACAATGCTGTATTGAAATCAAATCGCCGTCCGATATGCGAGAAAAAGTTGGAACCCATTTTTAACAATGCATTATTTATGCATTGTGGGACAGCCACGAAGGTCACTTTGGTCAGGAATGCAACAAGCAAGGTCTGGCATGGTCCAGTAGTTGACCTTTTCGTTTAGACCCTGGCATCTTTTGGACATTTTTTCTTTATTTGAAATGGTTCCTTTTCCAAGCCAGCGCCATATAAATAGTTGCCGAATGGGCCCCCCCCAACTCTTCTGGAACAAATGTGGGATCTTTCTACCACATATGCACTGTCAGAATGCTACAGTTGACCCTTTTATCTGAAAGCGATTTACAACTTTTACATATAAGAACATCTTCTACATGTCTGATGCTCATAACCTGACATTTGGTATAGGTCTATCGACTGATCTCTGCGCTGCTTTTTGGTTGAAAGATAATATTGGTTGCGCCATTTCGACCGCAATGAAGTTGGTTTAGTGTGTCGATATCTGTCAAGATTGAAGCGTTATCCTGTGGGCAAACTTCCCAAAACTCCCGCGAAGTCCCTCGCGACTATCTCCATATACAGGTGGAGGGGAAGTCAAAAAAAAAAAAAAATTACGGGGTTGAACTATATACCATCTCGAATCTATGCAATTTATACTTGGATTTTAATGTTTTACCACTGCTTTATTACTATATACTACCTTATAATCGCAGATAGCGTTTGCTCTTCTGCTCGTTCATGTGAATGCCATGAAGCCCTACGCAACTTGACTTCCATTTCGACCAACCCTCCTTTCGAGCCGTTCAGCTAAATAAACGCCCTGCCTCGTTTCGCGAGTTTCGTTCGCAATTTGGTTCCATTCAGAAAGTAACGTTATGACAGAATTAATCGCTGGACCAATTTCGAGAGGTTAAAAACCCCCAACGCGACAATTAATATCCTGCTCCCCAATACAGAAAATGTACTAAGGAAATGTTGTTCTGCAACAATGACGAAAGCAAATAAACAACAACAATGCTTAAACCCAACAAGCGGCAACTCTCTCCCACGAGTATTACCCTTCAGGCGCTGTAATTATGCCAATTAGCCGCCCCCAACATAGTTATTTCTCCCGGAACCTGTTTATAGTTATCTTCCTGCAAAAGACTCCACGACTTACTAAGAAGTAGCACTGAATCGCTTTCTAAAGCGTGCTTTGAGTTCCTCGGAAACCAAATGGCTATCGTCTGTGTAGCCTTTTGGCACCAGTTCGTCTTCGACCATTTCATTATTCATGTGGGCGAGGAATTTCTCCTGTTCGACCAGGAACTTCTTCATCGCCTTTGTGTTGAAGTTTCTTCCCGCGCGTCTCCTATTGCGGATCTCTTTGAGCTGGATCCGGATTCGTTCCTCAAGCATCTCAAGCCTGTACTCAGAAAACTGCAAGTATAGCTCCGAGAGGTCAGATACTGCGCGAACGGTTGTTAAAACGGTGTCGTCGCGGATGATCGCTGAGCGCGGGCGGAATGATGTTACCATCGTGATTCTCTCGGTTTTACCCATAGCGCGTAGGGCTTGATGCTCAATATATCGACCTTGGAGTACAATCGCACATCCCTGACACAACACCACTCAACACCCGTGTGTGAAAACATCCTTGTCCGTTCTCAGAGAACTTACCATCTGCGGCCCTCTGACTTTGAGGATGGATCCATCCCCTTTCCTCACTGCCGTTTCGCCGCCTACCATATTCGTACAGTCACTGAGCATTGTCACGCAGACAAATGGATAGCTATCTGTATGCCAATCCACGACAGGCTTCTCCTCCCCATCCTCCTCAGGACCAGGAAGCGCTTTCTTAGCCTGTGGTAGGACAGAAATGTTGACATGCCCTAACTCCCAGTCCATTGAAGGGACAAGATCGATTCCAGCAATTGTTGAAACGATTCCCAGAACCTCTGGGCTTCTCCACGCATCATAAACAAAAGGAGCATATCTTATGTGCATAATATTAATCCACTGTAAGTAGGGACGAGAGGAAAGGAACGACTTACTTAGGAGCATATCCTCGCAGCTGGCTCTGGGACAGATTGCTAGAGAAATGATATTTTGCCCAGACTTGATCATTAAGAACCTCTTTTCGCATCTGGAAAATGGCTTCAGGAGAAAACAGCGGGAATGGGTCGGAGACACCAATTGGTGAGAGCCCAACGTCGTGGCTATACTCAAGCTCCTTCATAGAATGGACTTTCGATGGAGGAGAGAACTGGAGATGTTTCTGTGGATCAAACCGAATGGATTCCTCAGGGGAAGAGGCGTCCACAATGCCAGTGGCGTCGGGTTTTAATACGTTGGCTCCATTGAAGGTGGGAGGCATGTGGGCCGGGGTGGGGGTGAGGATATCTGCTGTCGCCATCGTGCTGCTCTTCGGTGTCTGTGAGTACTTGGCCTTCACACAACTTTTGGTGTTGAGAACATATCCCTACGCCACCGCCGTCCATGATAAGTTGACGAACGATGATAGGACCCCGAACAGATACGATTCGACATCACTCAAAAACAAACGGGGCGTCCTAGTATTTCCTTAATCGAACTTACAATGCGTGGCAAAATATCCTTTTATTTTGCTTTTATCAACAAGAAATGCCAAGGAGATGTTTATTTAATTATTGGAAACAGACAGAGTCAAATGTTCGAGGCGTTTGAGACGAGAATGAGATAGAGGTTTACAGAACTTTCAGTTAGGAGCAACGACCCTTCCGCTTGGGGTAAATGAAACAAAGCTGATTCGAAACAGGATTGTTGTTGTTGAGGGAGGAAGGGGACATTTATAGTTGTTGGTTCTCTATGCCCCTTTTTTGTTTTAACACTCGTATTGATCTATACATTCTTCATGACAAAAGTGTATTTGCATATGAGAAATGGCCAGGGAACCAGTCCCAGCCTTGATCATGGAGTAGATTTTTAGAACTCAAAGCAGTGACGACACATCTTCAGGGAGGCATTGAAACAAATTGTACGTGTCCAGCCCCATTTCCTATAATAGACAGGTTGCTTCTGTTCTTCACACTACAAGGGATCTCTATATCCAGTTACAGTTTTCCCTTGATACCCAACAACACCAACGAAACCCGTCCAATCTCTGAAATCTAGGTTTGATAATTGTGACACGGAGAAAATCAAAAGATCCCGGGTTGGTAAAGCTTAACAATTTGCCGAAAAGACAAGTACATCAAACACATCAGCAGCCTATGATCCAGCCCATGATCCAGCGGATCACCGCCTAGCATGGATATTATTGCTTTGTTTAGTTTGGCATGGAGTCGTCAATCACTTCCCAACCCGTCTGGGTGTCAACGAGCTATGACCTTGGTAAGGTCCAGACCTCAATCGCCGGGCAATACGGAGTGCCATGATGGTCTTACCCAAACCGCACCACGGATGATGTCCACGCGCATCCAATATCATTTGACTTTCTATGTCTTATGAACAATTACTGCCGAAGATGCCCCCCTAAAATTGAATGCGTTAAATTCTTCGTTGACTCATATTCATTCGCATGCGCGAAAATCCTTGCCATGTCCAAATTAGAGCTAGGGATATAGTTACTCGAATACGATTACTACTACAAGGCAAATAATTCATGCTGATGTTTGGTTGGCTCTTCTTCACAACCATGTCGTATGGGCGGATATTCTGGACAGAGTTGGCAAAGATATCAAAAATGGCAGCATGCGAAAAAGCCATGTGTGACATGACTACACTGCCCCTTGGCATATAATGCGGAAGGGGATTTTTTCAGGGTGTTGGAACGAATGAATGATGCATAAAATCACAATACATGGTGTGGAGGGGTAGTTGTCACTTGGAAAAGCAAACCCTGGAATCCTTCGATATCGCCCAAAAACTAAAGTAATCAGTTGTTACTAGGAATTAGGGATAATCATGAAGCGGAGGCAAGGAATCTATTTACATACATTCCTGCTTGGACTGTTTTCCTTACTCTCTTTCTCCTGCCACACAAAACCCTCTAGAGAGGAACCAACGAATGTGGTATGGGAAATTTTGACTCAATTTGGGTTGTCGGATTGGAGCCGTTACGATCGTTTCCCCCCCCTCCTTTCGATTGGCTTTCTAGAATTTACAGGTAACGGGAGAAGAAGCCTTTTTTTCAGTTCTTCCAAAGATTAGTCCTACGGAAAACCCCTCTTGATATCACCATCAGTCTATTACCACTCACTCCAGCAAACTTTGGCCCTTCGCTTATCTTTCCCTTTTCTTTCTGCTCTGCAGCTCAATGATTTATTTAATACAATATGATCGAGATCTAGTTACCCCATATTTTTTAATTCGTTGTTAACTATTATGTTGACAGTCCCCATGTATAAAAGTAATTACTTTCAGCTCCCTCCTATTTCTTTATATGTGTTCTTGTCCATCTGATAAAACGTATGTAAGAGATGTGGTTTACATACCTTCGGACTTCTCCAAAGGCTATCGATGTTTTACGAGTTTCTCGGAAGATTTCCAAATTTCAGTCCGCTCTCTTGGAAGGCAACCTGAAGTTAGCCCTTCTGACGGGTTTGACTTGCATATGCGCCGCCGTACTCCGTTCCGCTGTGAGATACAAAATGAAAGTAAAAGGATAGGGCCACCCCCTTCCTTTAAGATCGCTCTGCGCTCTCTTTCTTAAATTCGGTGACTGGCGTTCTCAAGATGTTTTCAGTTCTTCAACGCTATGGGAGCTGCGTTCTATGCCTTCTAGCACTCCTTAACTACCTCGAGCCAAATGAAGCATCGCAAACTACTACGAAAGACCTCTTAAGAGCCCCGGAAACTTGGTATCAGGCATTAACTGCAAACGGTTGTTGGAAATGATGCAAAATACAAAGGCATCTGGATATCCGCTCCTCAATGCTGTCAAATAACATAAATAGTAAGCTACGCAGCATTTTGGTCTGACATTGTTACATTTAGACTCCGTTCTATTCCGGAAGCTCTCAAAACCGAAGATCATGTTCCCACTGAAGGGAATAATTGTCTTTTGCTCCTTTCGAAAATACATATAAAAGCTGAGGATGCCTTCCTCTGGATATTTCTTTTCAAGTTCATGCTGAGATCGCTTGATCTTTCTTTCCATTTATTTACCCAGTTTTCCTCGTTATTTGAATTCTGGTCTACCAGACCTATCCAAGTTACCAAACCAAGGGGAAGAACGGACATAATTATGCCTATATTCATTTTCAAAAAAAACAAGATCTACATATATTCTATCGGAGGCAAGACTATTCTGTGAAATTTATCTGCCAGCCACCAGAATCTATTGGTAAAAATAGGTGTTTCAAATCTCCCATGGTTGAAAGTATGTCCTTCAAAGAATGCGTGCTTTTTCGCTCTAATCTGAACGATCAGAAACTAGGTCTCGCAATACTATTTCAAGAGTTTCTCGATATCTTAAATCTATCTATTATTAGCCAATTTGAACTTCTTAATAACTACTGGTTATATTTAACGGACTGGTAGCAGGATGATGTAAATATTCATACCGATACCCTAATGGAGACCAAACATTCTTTGGAGACGGAACAGAAATGGGTATCGATTGAGCCCATGCCTATACTGTAGTTCTTGGGGAATTTTCCGTCGGACCCACTGCCAAAATGCCGACGATAAAATATTTCCCATTTTTGTGAAAATTTCCAAAGGCTGCTGGCTGTTCACTCGTAGTTGGATAGTCCTGAAAGTCCAAGTCGGAGTGCTATATACGTTCTCGCGATCACTTTCTCTACACTTCCTAACTGCTTCAAAAGGATAAGAGCCGAATAACTTTACATAAAATTGAATATTTAGCCCTGGGAAACTGCTAGGTGTCCGTAAGCTTCGAAATTAGAGTACGAATCCACGATATAAAACTCTTTCCATTTCTTTCCTCTCTTTTCCTCTTCTAGTTTTTTTAGTGAAACATGGACGGACTACTTGTTGCTATTTATCTTGTTTTGATGTTCGACTCTTTTGGATTTTCTAGTACGTTTTCAATAATTCAGATAATTATATTTTAAGCAATTCTTTCCCCCTTCATCTGAGATAGCTATCACAGTTATTTGTAATAGGGCGACTTTTTTAAAATAAATATTCTGTGAAGCGCTGAAGTTGGGCGTCTAATAGCCGGTAGGCGCAAAAACTAGCACTAATATGGAATAGCTCATGACTAGACTCAATTAACCTAGCGGCTCCGTTCTGCGGCTGAATTTCCCTTCTGGGTCTTCCTGTTTCGACGTTCGACCTTTTCCCGTCTCCAACAGACTGGAGGATTTGCACAGCATGGACGCGGACAAGGTGAAGGAAGAGCCCCAGAGTGCCTGGGAGAAGGCGAAGCCCATGTTCACAAAGTTGGTTCTTCATTTCTGCTCTCTTCTCGCGCAACTGTATTGAATTGGGCTGCCCAATTCCTCTCCAATTCTTGGGCGGAATTGAGTCGGCTGATTGCACTCATTTCACTAATCCAACCAATGCATTGCTGCGTCTGCTAATTGCTCTTTATACCTGTGGAGTGTCTGAAGCTAACGGATATTCTTCTTTTATCTTTGGAATGTTATAGCAAACCAGCTAGCGGGTACTACGACCCCTGTCAAGATTTCGCGGATCGCAGTATCAAATGCATGCGGCGCAATGGTAACGATAAGACGATGTGTAGCGATTACTTCCAGTGAGTAGATTTTCCCGTCTAGGCCGTACATTTATCCAATAAACATGATACCATTGTGTTTGAAAGTCACGGTTCCGTTGTTGGCGGGTGCTGACGGGTGCATTTGTTAAGAGCGTATCGTGATTGCAAAAAGGAATGGGTATGTGATATTATGTTTTCTTCTGCTTGGTTGGGGTTAAATAAATGTTCCTTGATATCTTCACTCATTTATCGGAATGTAAACTGCGGAATACACTGGGCCACGCGTTACATATTGCTATTATATATCTGGATATTATAGAGGGAAGTGCTAAGACCAATCTGACGTATATCTCCCTTGCAGATGACCCAGCGGAAAAAGAAATCCTAACGGTTACATTGGACGGTGAATCAAATCCAAGGGCACCAAAATTCACGCTTCCGGGAAAGCGGGAAGATTGCAGCCAAGATAATGACCATATCTGGTTTTTTACAGGACTGAATCTCGCGATCATATCGCAATCATATATTTACATACCCCGCGCGTTACTGCCCATGTTACCAATGTCTGCTTATGAACATGATATATTTTTACTTTAACAACAGAAGAGAGCGTGTTCGATATATCCTAGCCAAAGATGCGATGACGAACCAACAATCTTGCAGTCCTCGATAAGACCAAAATGCCATTGAACTGGATCGGTAGACGAATAAAGAATGCCTCTCGAGTTATTCCTCTCGTTGACTTTTGCTGGTTTGCAATCCCATCGACTCCAAAAACCCTTTTATATTTTTTTTAGCCTGCTAAGGCTGTATGCTGTCTGGGTTATTTTTAACTATCTATCGTTTATTTAAGTGCACAGCGCGCTGCCCCCCATAATAATTATAGACTTGGTTCTTTGGTAATCCAACTCCTCGGAACTTCAAGATTTATTCTCTCCCATCCATTTTCCATGAGCAAATAATGATTTTTGATGTCTCTCGGCCCCTGCATATTGGCCAAGGAAACATTTCCACGCGCAATGTAATAGGTCATCTATGTTTTTTCTTGATTTATCGTTTAGGGAATCTTGCCCTGCTAAAATCAGGATTTGAGAAGTGCTTCAGACTATGTTTCGGGACAGGCGTCTGCAGTGCAGTTGTGGTGACATCCCAAGCCCACGCAGGGATGTTTTCAAGTGCTTAGCCCGCCTTTACTAAATATAGGAACCGACTCTCAAACGTCAATCTAATAATATTTGCTATTAGTCTTAACTAACTAATACAGTTCGGAAGAACGATGCGCACACTTAAGCCATTATCACCCTCAAGCTCTCGTTCGCTGATCCTTTGGCTCTTCTCCCCGATTTTGATGCCTCTCGTCCAGCCTCTACGGTACACCCTTCAAAGTGTTGGCATTGGCCCTGGAAGCTGGGTTGCTCTTTTGTCCAGTGTGTTGGGTCTCCCTTATCAGGACATTTGTATATTTTACACCACTGCTGAAAGCAGCACATGATAGTTTCAAAGTTGTTGGCTCTTTTCCCCCCCCTTATATATGCTGCCTGCTTGACTCGGCTTTAACAACGTAACTAATGCATACAGGGGTTAAAACATAAGCTTGCAGGGCTGTGCTTCCAGCATATTTCTACAGATGTCGAGATATTAATAGCTAACTCCAGTTGTATTCGAAACTTATGCCCGAGTACTCCGTACTGAAAAGTAAAACATATTTAGTTTCTCTCGCGGAAGATTCATGAAATCCAACGATGCAGCTACACTTTTGATGTCTTCCATCCGGGCCCTCACCCACCCGAACTGTCTGCAATGACGGTTCTCCTGGATTGGAGATACGTCGCCCTTAGGAACCCGCCAAACGCCGGTGTACTGGGTGTTGTAGCAGATGTGTAAGTTGTTTCTTTTCTTCAAGACTGGGATATTCCGCGGTAACCTCTCTGAACCGACCTTCTCCGTAAAGTTTCCTGCTTCTCCTTCTTATTGCATCTTATATTCCACAGTATGTTCGCATCAGAAGGCTCAGAAGCACCTATGGAATCTCATTCTATTTTGTTCTGCTGCGCTCCATCTATGCAACAGCGAGCCTTTCAAACTTATTGATGTTGGCTCCTGTCTTCTGGAAAGTACAAAAATGCCGGACTACATACTCTCCGGGACGCTGCTTCTTGGAAAATTTAGTCCTTTGGCAAATAGCGACAGATTGGGTGCTTTCGCAGGCAATGTAAGTTATCTCTGACATACATATCCGAAGGGCATTTTTTTATCAATTACTAATGCCTGAATGATAGATTGTTCCTTTACTTATACTACTATTCCACTCCTCAATCTAATCACCGCCCGTCTTCTTCCTCATCGGAGGACGGGGTGGGGCAAATTCCCGTACGAGAAGCTGCCCGTAATATGGCTGCTGGTGTTATGATTGCTGTCCTTGTTATTTATCTATTTCTACTTGGCCCTTCCATCGGATTTGTGACATCATACCCAATTCGGGATCCTGGTTACTACATTCTTCTACAGACATGGTCCTTTGTCCTTATCGGAGCCTCGTGCCTACTCGTGATAATCAGCTTCCCGACGCAGATATATCACACGTACGCCTTAAAGCGAACCGGAGAGCTAAGCATTCAAGCTCTGGCTATACAAGTGCCCGTCTACATTCTCCAGGCAGTATCTCTGGCAACGTGGTTGGAATTAGACAAAAGCAGCAACTTCCTGGCGCTCTACCTAGGAGCCTATAATGCTTGGTTCAATATTTTACTTTCATCTTTCTGGGAGTGCATCTTGCTGGTTATAAGCATGTGCTATGTATACCAAGCACGAAAGTTGCACGGGCGGGCTTCTGATACTGTGGGGCATCAGAATGCTGACGAAAGTGGTGATTATTTACCAGATGAGCGAACACATCTTCTCCGCGGTGAAAGTTCAAGTTTTACTGCAGGATGATCGTTCGTCTTTTTCAACGTTTACTTTTATTTTAACTTACGGTTCTCAACAATAAAACCTTTGCATTATTCGTTATTTGTTGTTTCCTTTCCCATGGTATAAATTTATTATCTACCCTCGATATATTGTTGCAAATACTTGGTAAATAGTTACTCCAATAATTATGAAGTCTCCAAGGTTTGCTCTAGTTTCCTGCGGCTGCTTTCCACCATGGATTTATCAAGGACAGTCGGCCTAGTCCGAACCAAGTGGCGCATCCTCGTGTGAATGACGCCTTGTGAACTGCCAAAATTTTAGATCTTGGCAGTGTCGGAGTTTCATAGCTGAAATTTCATATTTAAACTGCCTGACGTCTAAACAATTGGTAAAATTACCATCCCTGAATATAGGGTATTCCATTGCATTGTTATCTTGAACTGATCTATCACTGGGTAGCGGAAGCGAACCATGGTTCAAATCTGATAACCTTATCCCTACAAGTGTTAAACCTGCCCAACCGTTGATCAACCATCCATCCCGACTCTATGAGATGAATTGCTGTGAACATACCGAGAGAAGAATCGACAAATTTATAAAAGGGTGCGGGCCGCACATGAAGTTACGTCCTTGGTTTGGTTGAGCTGGTGCCTGCAGGTAATCAATAACCCCTGGGATTCTAATTCTTCCTTTCATATTCTGAGACATCACACTATGATCCTAAAAACAGCGCCTTAGAGAGAAGCAGGTCTTCTTCAATCTATAAACCAATTGCGGCATAAAATATATCCGTGGTTCGAGCGGGTCATCTTTTCACCAAGCTTCCTCGTCATTGTCGTCACTAACCTGGCACGATTCCGCCTTGTCATTCAACCCCTTTTGCTTTTTCAACTTGGCCAGTTCTAGTTTCAATTTCAAACGCTCAATGTCATCCTCGGAGGATTCATTATCAAAGTCATCATAGCCGTAATTTCTACTCTGGAGTGCCCCCGTGTTGCGTCGACTGATGCCATGACGCCTGGGTGGTGGATTCTTCCTCGGGCGGCTTCCATGCATGGATTGTTTTTCGGGGGATGGTTCGTAATTATCCTTTCTAACTTCCTCCCGTTCGGCAAGGATTCCGTACGTGTCTTCTTCCTGGATTCCATGGATGTCACTGATATAATCGTCGAAATGAGCGCTGGTTTGAGCTATGCGGTTGAAGTGGGCTACCTTAACCTGAGGTCGTTGAAGTTTGGCACTGTCTTTTCCTTCGCGAAAATCCCAGTTGGCAAGCGCGAGAGCAGTCTGAAACGCGTTTTTGATCTGTCTACCATTCCAGCGTCGTGAAGGTTTATACTTATTGTCCTGCCAATGCTTATTGGCAAAGCGCCTAAGCTTATCCTCCTCGATGTCGATGTCGCCACCGCTTTTCTTGATATGTTGAATATTTTTTTCCCAAATCTCTTTGGTCGAGATTTCGTCAAGCTTTGGGTAGTACAGACTCATATGAATTCGGGATCTAAACGCCTCATCGAATTCACCAACGCGATTTGTGGTCAGAATGATAACCCCAGAGTAATACTCCAACACCCGCAAGAAAACTACGTATCGATTAGAAAATATCTTTGACACCACCATATTATTCAATTCACAGAAGCATACCTGAAACGAGACTATTGCGTATTATGTCCCCTTTCTCCCTTTTTGCGAGGAAAACGTCGGCCTCGTCGAGAAGCAATACGCATCTCCACCTATGTGCTAAAGCACAGAATGACTCAAGTGTTTGCGAAGCTGTTTCAGCAGTCGTGCCAATATCGCCGCAAGTAATTGGTAATAATGGACGCTTTAATTGGGCAGCTACACACTCGGCGGTAGACGTCTTGCCAACTCCAGGTGCACCATGTAACAGAATGATAAGTCCTCTACCTTTACCAGGGACTGCATCCATCGAAAACGATTCGCCTGTCCCATCATGTTCTCCGGAAGCCTTAGGCTGTTCCACTTGGTTTTTAATTAACGCCTGAAGGATCATTCGATGACCCTCTGGCAGAACAAGATCTCCAAATCTAGCCCGATTCACGCGATCTTCGCGTGCTAATAAATCCTCCACCAAATTGATATCAAGGGGAAGCCATTTATGTTCAAGAAGGCCATATCCATAGACTCGAGGAGGGAGCAGCGTCAGGTGGTCATCTGAAACTGAGGCTGAGAGTAATGTCCGGAAACCAAGAAGGTCTGTGGATCGGCGATATTCATTTTGACGGTCTTCTTCAAATTTAGAGTCGTCGAAGACGTCTGTAACCCAACTACCGTCTTCTTGTTCTGGGAGTGCATCAAACGTCTCCCTCTTGTCTTGTGGAGTGGACCTAGCGATGGAACCGCCTCCGAATTTCAGATTTCTACCAAAACGATATACTCTTTGTTTAAAATGCTCGACCCCGGCTGCTTGGTCTATCATGATCTCACTGTGCAGCTGTTTGATATCATGTCAATATTAAATGGTAATCATTGAACTTTCAATTCTCGAACTGGAGAATGAGGGTAATTACCTCGGTCTGTTTAATAAGCCAATTGTTATAGCCCCTCGTGGTTTGATTCCCTTCTTGGATCGTGCTACCCGAGTACTTTTTATGGGCACCCGGAACAAGTTTCACAAAACGGCGTCCTCGCTCAAGAAGGCTTTGTTGTATTTGTTGGCTCTCCGAACCGGGGAGAAGCGGAAAAGGTGCTAATGTACTTATGGGTTTGGTACCGTTGTATGGGGGAATGGCGAATCGTCTTGGTCGGGGACCCAGTTTACCACCATCGAAGTCGATATAGAAGGCGTCAATGATGAAACATGTCATGTCCATGCCAGAACACTTGATCGCGTCGCGGCATTTCTCTTCATTCTCCGAATCTGAGTCCCCAATCTGATCGATTATACCTGTGTATACTGCTTTAAAACCACTATCAAAGTATGTTCTCCCCCCTGCAATATTTAGAATTCGATAGGCCTGACGCCGACCGCTATATTCATCTGATTTTGAATCAAGGATAATGCCTCCAGGTTTGTACAACAACCATAGATGTTCAAATGGGATCTCTGTGAGACTGGAGTTGGAAATTCGATGTTTGACATCAAAAATATCGTGCATGTCTCTGTCCATGAACTCCACAAGGCAACGGAGTTGGTTCATTTCTCTTCCTGCACACGAAACTGTTTTCTTGGCATCTCCTATGAGGGAATCATGAGTCCCTTTTTCGGTTTTTCGTTTAATCTTCTCATCTCCACTCAGCTGCTTGGTTGAGCTGGCTACGGTAACGACAGCATCCGGATTATCCTGAGTCAATTCACTCAGCTTCGAGATGACCTGGTCGTAGGTCGCTTCAGCCTCCTTGAGGAACTGTCGAATATCGGACTCGTACGCCACGAGGTACTTGAACGGACGCACGAAGACATTTCGGCTCTCAGTGATTCTTTCACCGGTAAGTTGGCTTAACACATCTAAAAGGTAGGATGAATTTATGGCAAGGCGGTAGGGAACATCAAATGGGCTGGTATCAGCGCTACGGGATTCAGTACTACACTCCGTGGCGCTTTTGTCCGCGGAATTTGATAGTTTGAGAGCTCGGTGTCGTTGTTGGGACCTAGCATTTGCTTTCGAGGAGACTAGAAGAACGCTCTGCTGAGGGATAATTTTCCGCTCCCTTTTGACTCTCCGCCATTTCCCTGGTGAAACCCGCTTAATGGCTATTTCTTGAAAATCTTCTTCATCCCTTGGGCCGTTTGATGGTTGTGTAGCGGCGCCTTGGTCATAGTCACCTCTAGGGTCATCGATGGTCAGCAGTGTCTTGCGAGTAAGTTGTGGTAGATTCATACCCCTTAGCCTTTTGGATAGAAATCAATTCATTTTGGCCAGCTACCAACGTCTTGAGAAGCTCCTTCACGACGTTGTCTGGTGTGGCAGGACCGCAATTTTCACTGGTAGTCGGCAGATCTGCTGTATTATTTTTCCCACTCTCAGATGCAGATGCTGGAGGGGACAAGATTCCGTTGTGATCAGCCCCCGCATCAGTATGGGGAGGGTCCAAAGAATCCACCAGTGCTGGATTAGTAGCTAATGTCATGGTCAAGTTTCTCAACAGGCGGTGTTACGATATCAATATAGAGACTTATTATTTTCCTCTTCTGATTTTTTTTCCTTGTATTCGGCATCGCCAAATGATCTAGAGAAAATTTCTTGTGTTTATTATAATAGCCGAGGGAATCTGGCGGGGGTCAGTAACAGAACCCCCAGTGCGAGCTATTTTTGCATAAATTTCAGCTACATCCCCGAACTTGCATGGAGCCAAGAGGAGCGGTTCGTTTTGGGAATTGACGGAGTGGAGTCTCATGAATTCACAACACATCCATCATCTGGCAACATTTGAATTTCCCCTGCTAGATTTGCGCAACGTTGAGCCTCGTACAGCCGTACTCAGCCTTGCCCAGGGTGATTTCTGCGTCTCCATTCGGCATCCCAAAGGTCATAGCGTTGGTCGACGCATGTGAGGGGCGGGAGCATGGAAGAAGGGAATGATGGCATGGGAGAAAATCGGACAAATTTTCAGAGAATCCATGTATGGTCGTAACTCAGCCTCCTACAGTGTTAGCTTGCATGATTCCAATAACTATGATAATTAAGCACTTCCGCATGCACAAAATCCAAACATCAACGCGATCTTGCCCAAGAACATCATATATCTCCGAACACTCCCGATTTTACCGTATGCTCAGTCCTCGATCCTTAAGGAATGACATGACCTAGGCAAAATCACAAGAAGCACAATGAGTGACGAGACAGTTTGTCGTGATAAACCTCCTACCCGCCACAGCCTTGGCGGGATTGCAGACCTGTATATCCGTAAAAGACTGAAGCGCGATTCCCATCCTGGTTTCGAAGCCATGAGAGAAAATGAGGAGACGCCGAACGAGCTGCTACGACCACCCGGCCTAGGGGATACGTCATTGTCACCAATCAAAAAGGAAAATGTTGAGGACGCAAACAACGAGCTTGAATCTGATGACGAAGATGATGCGGTGTATGGTTGGGCAATATCCAATACAAATGCTGTTTAAACTGATATTCAAGCAGACAAGAGCTGTACATCGATATCGAGCAGCAAAGGAAGCGCTTCAGTGAAGCAATGGAGGCTTACGAAAGAACAACCACCGGGTCGACATTCAAGACCGATGTCACGACAAAACAGGTGCATACATGGGAGGAAGTGTTGGAAGAGGTGAATAAAGCATCAGATCGTTACAACGACGTCTCTGGATTTTGGGGGAAGATCAGGAAAGGCCTTCGCAGATTCGGAAAGAACAGCAAAGCCTTTGAGGCTTGGGCGAGCCTGTTACCATCCCAATCGCATTATTTTTCGGTCCTGTGCGGAGGAATGAAACTGATATTTGGGGTTGGTAACTATTGATCCCTTGAACTTTTCGCATTTTGTGTATTAATAACCCCTAAGGCTGCAGCACGCCTACATGATCTTCGAAGCGATATAAGCGATGCATTGGCAGAGATTCCAACCCTCATCGCAAGCACACACAAAGCGCTAGGCATATTTAGAACGTCGAACGATTTGCGTCGATGTAGTGCAGCACTCTATTCCGCTACAATAGCCGCCTTACACCTTATTGTTGTATGGTACAAGGAAAAAGCATTGAGTAAATTCTCCCGACCAGGCCTTGAAACCGCAAGAAGCACAGCCTAACCAGCGTATAGAAAAGCTGCGCCGCAGCATACTCAAACAGGATGCCTACGAGAGACAACTGAATGATTATCTTAAAACTATCAGGGAAGAATCCAAGCGTTTTGAACAAGCTGCTCAGTTGTGTTCGTATGAGGCAATTATGAACACGAAGCAATTGGTTATGGACCAGGGCGATGAATCACGCAAGCATCAGGAGATTATACTTGGGTATTTTGATCAGTCGAGAAACGAGTTTCTTGACTTCCGCAGCAATTTCATGCTGGCTGCTGGAAGCGTGAATCGAGAGGTCCGCTCGATAGGCGATGAGGTCTCGCAGCTGCGTAGAGTGCTTGCCGGATTTCTCAGCAGCAATTCTCGAATGGATTTCAGATCGCAGGATGGTTAGTTTCCCCCGCCCCTGAGCAATTCAGGCCGTACATTCTGTCTGACTTGGGATTAGTAAGAGGCCCGGTGCTGCCGTTACGCAGGGCTGCGTCTGAGTCCGATCTATTACAAGGTACAGAAAACCTAGACCCCCTTTTCCCTATGACCAAGCCCACTTACCATGACAGATTACCTTCTTGCAAAAACTGAATTGCTTTTGGGTTTCGACTACAAAAGCTCTGCCGTTCGCCACGACATAGAAACCAGCCTTCAAATGATCTGGACCTTACCCACACCCGATCAAGATCGCGGAGTTGCAGTAATGCAATCGCCAAAGCTGCATCAATGGATCACTAATACCAATTCTTCGGCTCTCCTAGTCAATTTTAATGGTTCCAAGAAGACAGCGTCGACATCCTTTATTTCCGCGAAACTGACGCATTCGATCCTGTCAGACGCCATGGATCCACATTATCCAAGGAATATATTTCCCTTATTCTACCTTTGCGCACAAAACATGCGTCAAGATGATCCGAACTTCGGGGTCAGCAGAATGATGCAAAACCTGATCAGCCAACTACTCGTCGCCTATCCTGACTTCACCATGAGCTTTCTCAAACATATACAGCGTGCAAATCAGGAAAACATCAATAGCCTATGCCAAACCTTCCATAAGATGATCGCCCAACTCCCACCGCATGTGACGGTCTTCTGCATTCTTGATTGTGTTACTGTATATGAGCAGAAAAGCTCGCTGAGGAAGGAAGGAGAATTTGTGGTCAAAGAGCTCATGGAAATTGTGAATTGGACCCGGGACCATGGATGCAATTTCAAGGTTTTTTTGACGAGTGCATGGAACAGCCACGTCTTTTATAAGTATGTGCCGGATGAGAAGAAATGTGTTATATGGTTGCCGGCCAAGGTGCCACCGAAGGGTGGGTTTACCAGTATGAAATGGAATTCTAGCATTGCTTTAACGTAAACCGCCACACAACGCACGCCGCCACACAACGCACGCCTCTACAAGCAAGCAACCACCCAAGGAATTCCACCAATTTCTCAACCACCCATGAATTTATTTAATTTAAATTAAAAATATATATCTAGTAGAAGGAATAGATCATATAAAAATGTATAGTTAATCCAAAAATCTAGATGGAAGTCGAATAATGCGGCCACAACGTGATAATTGCGGGGTGGGCGAAGAAGGAATTGACGGCGACGTGGAGGAACTGCTAGAAGAAGTAGGTCGTAGGGAGCTTGCTGATAGGCGTGTAATTGACTGATTACCGGATTGGGAAGGTTGTATAGGGTTGGCCTGGTTAGATTTTTCACCAGGCCCCTGGCTTCGTACGGTCTTTGTAGGGGATTTGGCTGACCTGGCTGATCTGGTGGCGGCAACGAGATTTTGATCTCTAGAAAGCTTTAACTCTCTAGTAGCTTGCTGAGCAGCTTCCTTATCAGTCTTCTTTCACTCAGCAGCTAGTTTACAAGCAGCCACGCGAGTAGCAATCTCAGCTTTTTGTCTCTCTCACTTCTGAGCATTAGCCAGCCTAAGAGCTTGAGTTGCAGCTTGCTTTGCAGCTTTTACAATTGCTTTCTCTTGACATAATATATCCTGTTGAAGCTTGTCTGCTGCTTTTTCAGCAGCCTCACTAATCTTAGCAGCCTTGTCAGTCTCAAGCTGCTGATGTGCTGCTGCAATCCTAGAAGGTGAAAAGAATTGAGCAGCACGCGAATTCTCTTTATCCACAAGACCTAGAGGCTTTCCACGTTGGCGGCGCTTCTTCTCCTTTCGTAAAGCTTCGTATAGAAGCTTATTTTCATGCTGCAAAATCTCTTTTTCAAAAACTAGTCTTTCACTAGCATGAACGATTTTTCGGAACCCAGTAGAGATTCTTCGCCGTTGATTTAACTTCTTAACTGCCCGTCGCAGTCCTCGTATGGTAGTGGGTGTGACTGGCTCTGCTGTGACTGGAGTGCTTGGTCTAGCAAGCTTGCTAAGCACCCGATCTGGTGAGAGAGGATAAATGCCAGTAGCAGCAAATCCAGACTCTATATTTGACTTCGTGACAGCTTGCTTCCAGGCGTTGTGGAATAATAAAAAGAAGTTGCGTTTTTTAATGGATACACCTCCCATTGCTGAGCGTAAGAATAAATCCACCTGCTGAGAGTATGCCTTTGATAAAGGTCCAAAAATACCAACATCCAAAGGCTGCAAGCGATGAGTTGAATGAGGTGGCAGTACAGCAAGGATAATACGATTTTGATCAGCATAGTTGATGAATTTCATATTGACATGAGAAGAATGGCCGTCAAGGATGAGCAGGCGCCAGGCTCCATTCCTAGCCTTTGTATGAGGATTAAAGACCCGTTGCAGCCAATGTAATCCATATTGATCACTGCTCCAGCCGTTCGGGGAGGCAGCAAAAAAGACCTCATGCTCTTTAGAATCAAAATCTTCTAGCCACGTATCTTGCAAATCCCCGGAGTCTGACTGATATATAAGACCTGGCGGCGTTGACCTTCCACTGGCTGATATGGCGGCTAGCAAAGAGATGAATTCTCTACTCCCATCCTGAATCGTGCCTAGCAAGCTCCCGCTCTTAAGCTGCTGTACAGAGACTATTCGCTTGCTGATTTGCATGACGCCCATAAGAAAGCCCTTCTCATCAAGATTCCACGTATTAGATGGTCGAATGTTGAATTTTTTGACCTTTTCGTCTAGCTAAGATGCTCAAGCATTAGCAACCCCTCATTAAATTGCAGGCAATGTAAATAAAAATCAATCAAATACAAGCTGGAAAAAGTGCTGAAAATACTCAGAATTATCAGCTCTCTTGCGTTTTTGATCAATTGCTCGTAAATATAGGCTTTTGATGCGATCCTTGTGGCGTTGACAAAATCTAGAGATCCAATGCTCGCCAATCGGCTCCTGAAGGATTTCTTCAACTAGATTTTGAAGAATTCGAGGTGTAGGAGGAAAGCCACGGTCCGTAAGACGATTTATATATCGAATAAGCTCTTCCTCTTGAGAGTTCGTAAGTTTCTGTCTATATAGGGAGTCGGCAGTTTCTCGAGACACTGATTTGCCCGTAACGCGTCGCATAAGCGTAGTTCGATGAATTCCGTATTTTTTTGCAACAGTAGTATAATTGCCAGCCTCTTGCGAAAGGAATTCAGCCACTGCGAGCTCTACAGCTTCTTTGGTTGGCATGTTGTAGATGATTGAAGGTGGAAGGTTGGGTTCAAAAATCGGCTTTTTGGGGCGTGCGTTGTGTGGCGGCGTGCGTTGTGTGGCGGTTTACGTTAGATGTTGCTAAACAGGGGGTTTCCTAGTGGCCCGGTAGGCAGTGGAAAACAGAGATATAAGAGGTCCCAGATAGGTAACAAAAAGAGATATCAATCGTTGTTTAGCACTATTGGAAGGTTTAGCTGGAAATCCACAAAGAGAACTGTCGTAAAACTTCTTTTTAAGGTTGTTGTCTTCAAATGAAAAATTGACACGCGCGGCTAGCAACCTTGGTAAGTAATGGAGCTAATTAAGCGGACAAGGCGGGTAATTGGCGCCTACTTTGTACCTTCCCGCAGAATTGCGCCGGAGCGATACATAAAATAGTGCTTGTCTTTAAAACGGCACCCCGCAATCCTCAACAGCAAAGCTCCCTACACACTCATAAAGCAACCCTGCCTGGCCGGTGTTACCATGTCAGCTACCGCCGTTTTCGAGCGTCGGAACAAACAGATCCAGGATGCCATCGATGGTCAGAATCTCAAGCAGGCCCTGCAACTCTGTGAGAAGCGGCTCAAGAGGGGCGAGGATTCTCATTTCCTGAGGGTTAGTTCGGAGTTGGCAGAGTTGAAATATTTATAAAAATTAGACGTGCATCTGTCATTAATGTCCTGTGGATGTACATAGGCATGGAAAGCACATATCCTCTTCAGCCATGCTGACGACATCCATCGCCAACGCGGCATTTCCGAGACGCTCCAGCTATGCCACATTGAACCCCCAGTTTCCGACATAGATGCATTGAATATGCTATATACTACTCTAAAGAGCATTGATGAGCATGCGGAATCTGCGCTCGAGATATGGCAGAAAGCGGCAAAGGCCAGACCCCAAGCACTCGATATCCAATTGAGATGGTTCACACTGGCAACAGAAGTAGGCGACTGGAAAGCTGCACAGAAGGTCCGGAGACACAAAATTCCTTAATTCATTTTAGTATTGGATTTATACACTCCACGGCTCTGGGATGCATCCTTTTTACAGTCGATTTCGAGGGCAACTGCTGACATTTGCCGCCCCTAGGCAGCTATGAGCCTTCAAAATAACTTTCCGAAGGACCGCAAGTTCTATTTCTGGGCCATTTTCATGTGCTACCTAATCAGCATAGACCCAGCGAATTCGGAAACAGATCGTAAGCTCTTCGGCACACTTGCCTACCGCATGATATCGAAAGCTGCGGCCAACGTACCTAGTGATCCGGTATGGATAACTACTTACCGTCATGTCCTTCGCTCTCTATAGACCCTCGAAGCTCATTAAAATTTTTCCCCTGATGTATAGAAAGAGTTACTGAGCCCGCCTAGAGCAATACAAACCTCCGAAGAGCTCTTCCTATTAATCAAGATCTTCAACACACAAGAGAGCTACGAGGAAATTGTGCATTTACTCAATAGCCAGAATTTGGGCGTCGAATCACGCATTGCTCAGAACGATTGGTCATTTGTCAGCGCGAAAATCGCAAGTCTTGAGAATGCTGGGCTATGGGATGAAGCGTTGTCGTTTACACGGGAGTTACTTAGTCTTCCAAACGAACTAGCAAATGGTTCGGCAGCAGCGGCTGCTCAAGAAAAGGATGATTGGCTAGTTTGGAGCCTTCTCCTTAAGTCAACTGAGAAGTCAGGGAAAAAGGAGTAGGTAATGACGTTGAATGAGGTTTTGTTGTCTACTGCAGGCTGATAACCTTTTTCTCTTCCATTTTTCCAGGACAGCACGAGAAACCCAGATTTTCATTGAGGATTACATCGAGAGGCGACCAAAGTCACGGAATGCTCAGTTGGCCGGTCTTGACTTGGTTGAGCAACGAATTGCGACCCAGGAGTTTTCTATGGGAGACCTTCTCTCAGCATGCAAAAAATATTTCGACCGCAATAGTAACAAACTCTATTGTTTCCATGACTTGCGCAAATATTTAATTAAACTGGACCTCTCGATGCAGGACGAATTTCAAGCTCATGTTTCCCAAGCCGTAGTCGCAGGACAAGATGCGGATGATAAGAAACAGGTTAGGAAAAATGTATACCCGCCTTGGTTTAAAGATGTTGACCCGTTCATATAGGTTACCGACCCTTTCAAGGGCGTTGCAGCTATTAATGCACTCAAGTTTGAATACTGTTTCAAGCTGTCATTCGGTGGTGACAAGGTATCAGCACAAAGGGCGGAAGATTTTGTCTCTCGTTGCCTCCGCATTTACCGGAGCACTGAAAGACCTAACGACACCTCTCCATCTACTATCGAGAGCCAACCCAGCGATGACCTGTGTATTTTAGCTGTTATGGGACTAATTCGGCTTCACGAACCAGCCTTTGGGACCAATCCCAATGCCGCCCCCCATGCCGTGCTGACCCAAGCTGCCGGGCTCATCGAGAACCTGCTTCTTAAGTCACCCCATAATTATGAGGCTCTTCTGCTCCTAGTTCGAATCTACCTCCTCCTTGGTGCAGGATCATTAGCTCTGAAGACTTTCCATAAATTATCCGTCAAGCAAATGCAATACGAAACAGTCGCACATAACCTCTTTACTCGCCTGGCCTCAACACACCCCCACGCTCCTCCCCCATATGAAGGGTTGGAGAAAAAGGACTACGATCCACAGGCTTCCATGAGACAGGCTTTGATATTTTATCGAAACTCAGAGACTGCGACGGCTCTTTCACGAAACATTGGCCTGGAGCATGGAAGCTACTTCAATGTATCTGGAAGTATAAAGCTGCAGAATGACCTGAAGAATAGTATCTGTCGAAGAATGTGGGCGTTGGAAACGCGGAGGATTCAGCGGCTGGTTGGCGGTGACTCAGTGGGACAATATGATCATATTGGTATGTCAATATTTCGTACACTTTATCTCACATTGTTTCTCCTTAACTAACGCGCGATGTTTTACTCTTAGTCTCTAATACAGACCCAATCGTTGACAACCGAAACTTCGATGGCTTCATGAACTGCGAACTCCCGGGTAAATCTAGTTTTGAGGAGCGTGTTCGTCTCGGGCCCAGGCCAGGCGTAAGTGGTTCAATCCACATTCCTGATTTGAGAGGATAATAGTAGACAGCTAACAAATAGTAGTCTCATACCGTCAAAGTCATGACTATCACCGACACACTATTCAGTTTCCTCAACAGCAACCTGTCAATGAAAAAGACATCATCTGCCCCACCATCGTCTCCGTCATCCAATGTCGACTTATCCCACTATCTCGACCTCGACTTTGACCTCGACTTCCCCCTTCCATTAACCGAATTAACGCCCGCCGAAATCGAAAATGCAAACATCCATCTCACCCTGCTGAAAGTCCTCGCAACACTTACCACAGACACGACTTTTAAACAATCCTCCACACCCGGAACCTCGATAACCACGCATTTCACGACTCTCGAAGACTTCCTAACCCAAAAGTCCACAACCCTAACCCCATCAACCGCGATCCTCCCCACCACCATCACACTCTCCCTAAACTCCAGCGCCCCTTCCTGGCTCTATTTACACAACACCATCTCCCTCCTCGAAACCTTAAAAGCTGTCACCCTCTTCATCACCTACATCTCGACATCAAAGGCAAAACTTCCTGCCGCATTGGCGAAACTCGTTCCCACAACAGAGAAACTCGAGTCCCTTACAAATCTTGTCAGACAAATCGTGGAAATTATTCAGAATAACACTCGCTTTTTGAAGATGCAGATTGCCGAGTCGGGGATGTTGGGGGAGTTAGTAGAATGGGTTACAGGTGGATATGATTGCGAGAAGACGTTTAGTTTGGGTGGCCAGGGTGGCCAGGGTGGAAAGGAGGTTGGAGTGGTTAGGAGAGAAATTGAGGAGTTAATGGATACGGCATCGCTGGAGTTGTTTTGTGGGTCGTTGATGGAGAGTTGGGATGAAGCTCTTGATGGGGTTTTGGTTATGTGCGGGCATTTGAGTTGATCATGCTGCATCTTCGTCTAGAGTGGGAACTTTGAACTCCATTAAATGAAAATAAATAAATAAATAAATAAATAAAAGGAAATAAAAGGAAATTATGCTGCTTTTATTTTGCTCTATTCTTGGTATTTGGATTGTACTGAGATGGGATTTGTATTTGATTTGTATTTGATTTGTGTGATGATTTGTAGGGATCAGATATATGCCTAATTAACATGATTGGGGAAATGGAATTGGATGGAGTTCAAAATACTCACTTAAACTAGCTGATGGGAATGAGGAGAGGTATAAATCCACATCTGACTTTGATTGAGGGGAGCATGAGAATACACAACCCCATTCTCCCAGCACATATCCGACAGACGTATATTATTCAATTAAGCATTACAAGGCATTACGGTTGGGTTATACGCCATCATACCAAGGGGCAAAACGGAGCTCCTCGCTCTAACCTATCCCAATGATTGATTTGACGTTGAATTTTCTCTCGATAAAGTCTACCAGAGCACAAATCAAGAATAAATAAAAGAGACGTAAAAATCATGACCAAGACTCCCATTTATCAAAATATCAAAGCTCATAAAACGACACGCAGGTTCGTAGGCTCTAGCCCTCCACCTACGCCGTCATCTATTTTTGCTCTGTTCCCCATCCCATCCACATCGGACACAAAGTCCCGAACTCATTAGTCTTGTCGGCCCTTGAGCAATCGTTTTGTGACTTTGTCCTTCTCTATGATGTAAACATGCGCTCCCCATCCTGAAAGAGCATCTCTATCAACCGCGTTCAATAGGGCTTGCGAGATGGTCTCAAAGAGGTCCTCCGGTCCCTGTTCCGGCTGGTTAGTAACAAACACACTCTGCAGTATATATACATAGAGTTACACAAGCCCCTTCAGAAGCGAAACGGATTAGACATACAAGATCCGGCTCCCACAATCCCTCGCAAGTACCAAACAGTTGTTCACTTGCAGTACCGCTAACAATAAAGTCTTTCGCAAAATCAATGCACCCGATACTATCAAAACCGCATATGAACGGCTCCCCAGTCGTATTATTTATGCCCGCCAACACAGGACTGACAAAGTAAGGCCCAAAACGTTTCTCATACAAACTCGAGCTGACGAGGTTAGCCAGTGTCTGGGGGGAGATCTGTCGTTCCTCGCGCAGGCGGTACATGTTGACTTTGAAGCGGAGGACGTCTGAGACGGTGGAGACATCCGTAGCCAGGCCGGTTAGGCCTAGATACGTCGAGGGGGCGTAGTTGAAGATCTTGGGGAAGTTGTTGGAGACAGTGAGGGCTTGGAGACCTAATCGCAAGTCACAGGCTATGGCGACGCAGTCTTTGCCGACCATGGCGACGCAGGCACCGCCATCTGTTGATTCGAGAAGAGGGGGAAGGGTTAGAGGGATGCCAGCTGGATCATTGGGAGTATTGGGAGGGTAAACAAGGGCATACTTATGTCGAAGATAGAGCTCTGTAGGCAGCGGAGTTAACGAGAAGCTGTCTATTTTTGTAAGTGGTCTGGAGCAGCTTACCATTAGTGCGGGAGTCAAAAAAACAGTTTCTAAAATAACACGCTGGGTATCTGGGACGTCTATAGCAGCACAGATGTCGGCAACCTGTTGTGGGGAAGGATAAAACAGGATTGGCGGTGGTGGATGTGATATTGGGTATTAGGTAGAGGAGTTAACGTATGGGTAAGAAGCGGTTCCATGGACAAATGCGTTGAGCTCGGACCACCCGATGTGGTAAGCAATGCGTTTGTTGCGTCTGCCTGCGCCTGTTATCAACGGTCACCATCACATCTGCGGAGCACTCCATAGAACGATTATATATAAAGGTCGGACAGGAGGATACATAAATACTTGCACCGTCTAGCTGACTGCATACACGTTGCTGTGACTATTCTTCTATATGGAACACTTCTAGCAGCATATAGTTATAGTAATGCTCATGGCATTCTGAGGTTCTGGGACCTCCGCATGACTCCAGAGCTGGGTTGCCCCGCCATCTTACGGCCTATCCATCCCCTTTATCACCATGGCTTCACACGTTGTGGTAATAGATTCCACTGCTCGGAGGGCCACCGTCAAGGTTACTCCCACAAGACATCTCACTGAGGTCCTTTCAGAAGCATGCTCTAAGCTTGGGCTCGACGCTCGCCAGTACGGACTCAAGTAGGTGTTGCCCGTGGCGCTTTATATGCTTTCTACAGATTACTAACTATACCATTCCGAAGACACCAGAAAAAGCACGTAGATCTTTCACTATCCATACGGCTATCAGGACTAAGCTCCGGCGCCAAGCTTGAACTTGTACAGCTCTCGCGCTCTCCCTCAGTCGTCTCCGTAGCTCTACAGCTTCCTGAATCCGAGGCCCAGGGTGCTCCAAATGGTCGTTTAACCGATAAATTCCCAAGTAATACTACGCTATGGCATATTATGCGGAAATTCGAGGCTGGTGTGGCGGGAGACGGGATAGCAAGAAACCTGACTGCCAGAGGAGTGCCATCAACCAATAATGGTGCGGGAAGGCTGTTCTATCAATCTCCTGTTATCCAAATTGTGGGAAGAGAATTGTCATCATTTAGGGATCTTCAGAAAACCCTTGGGCAGTTGGGATTTAGTAGTGGAAGCGCACTACTTAGATTAAACTTCCGGACGACTGATCAGCCCCTTGAAGAAGCAATGGTGGAGATTGAGGGGTATTTCAAATCTATCGATGAAGAGGTAAAAGGAGGAGCTGTTGCTGCTAAGAGCTCTAATCCTGAGACCCCAGTTTCGTCAGCCTCAGAAGAGCCAACCGAATCTATGCCCATATCAACCCCGTCCAATAATGCAAACAGTACTAGTGGGCAAACATCCACACCAGAAGAGCAACCTATTCCAGAAACCCCTGTCCAGCCTTCTTCACCAACGACCATCGTCTCATCCAGACCTACCACTGTTTACGCACCACCCATAAATACAGTTCCCCAATCAGCACAAACCCCTTTCAATGAACATGACTACGTACCAACAATAGACCAAGCCAAAGCCCACCAACACCATCTCAACCGCACCACCCGCCCCAACCGCCTAGCCACTGATGCCGAACTGGCCGCCCAAGCATCCGCCCAAGAAGCCAAGTTGTCCAGAATCGCTGACATCGAAGTGAAAATCCGCTTTCCAGACCAAAGCCAGGTCGTCTCCAAGTTCACCAGGGAAGACACAGCACAGAGCCTATACGCCTTCATCCGAAGCTGTCTGGACAACCCTCTGGCTGGCGAGAAATTCACGCTGTCATTCTTCGCCACCAGCAGCACCGGCACTGGATCTGGATCTGGCACGCAGCAGCACGCGCCAAACATGAACGTAACGAAGCATCAGACTGTAATCCCCGACGTTGCTGAGAAGCGACTCATCCGTGATCTACGCATGGATGGTCGTGTGCTGGTTAATTTCTCATGGACAAGTGATGCATCTCTGAATGCTAGGAGGGCGTCGACGCAGATTCTTCGACCAGAACTTAGGCAGGTTGCTAGCCAGATCAAGGTTGAGGAGCTTGCTGCTGTCGCTGTTGATGAGGGGAAGGAGGACAAGTCGTCGTTGCGCAGGCTGGGTGATGGTAGAGATGGCGATGGCCATCAGGGACGGTCTGAGGGGAAGAAAGGGGGTGGTGTACCGAAGTGGTTGAAGTTGCCGGGGAAAAAGTAGAGATGGGTTGTGTTTTTGGCTTTGGCTTGATGAGCGGTTCTTGCTAAGAGTTGTTAAACGGGATACGATTATTATGAAATGGAGCCATCTAAGTTACTTAATCTGAGGTAGTTCTGAATGAATGTTTTAGTTTTGGTATATGGTACTCCTTTGGTGGTACGTGCTCTCCATATACAACTGCATTCTGATCTAGGACTATCTGAAGCTATTAAATGCAGATTAATCTGGGCCGTTTCGTAGTTAGGAAGCGCCAGAAGTCCGAAGGGAGAAATGGGAAGTAATGTAGATATAATTTTTTATCGTCCCGTGCCAACTATCCTTCAATTTCCGGCCGCTTATTTATCCCGTTTAATTGGCAGTCGTGATCCCCATATAAATCCTCCATCCTAAACCTCGCCTTCTTCTTTGTGGGATAGACAGGGGAGATAAACAGTAATGATGGGGAAATCAACCCAAGCACCGAGTGACAGAGAAGGATGAATATGTATGGTATTTTTTTGTAAAAGATTTCATTTCCGTTAAATAAACAAGAAAATAAAAGATGCTTTGATGGCAGCCATGACACCATACCCTCAATTCAAAGCAAGCAACAACGGTAACAAGTCTTCTCTCTACCCCAAACGACAAGAGGAATATTTAGTGGCCGGCTCTCTTGGCCTCGGCGATAACTTCTTGCATCTCGTCCACCTTTCTCTTGGCGCGACCGAAGGTCCCGAGCTATATGGCGGAGAGAGATATTAGTTAGCAAACTGAGCCATTTCATGGAATGTGCACGCCCGTGTATGTATTTTCCTGCGGTCGATCATGTTCCTATTCTCCCTTGCTTGTTTCGACCCTGCCTATTTTCCTTCTGGATTGTTCTATCGTTTCGCTACGGCTCCACGTTCGAATATGAAAAATGCCCCTTTCAAGACTAGAGTCTAGTAGTGGAGTCACAAATTTCGAAAGATAAATCTAACGACGCGGCTGGTCGGATTTCGATCGTATTATCCACGAAGGTCAAGCGGAGTCTTTGCGTTCCTCTTTCCGAATAATCTTCCCCTCGTCCATCTCATCAATCCACAAACCGATCCAACTCTTGAACCAACAAGGCAATCACCAATTAAACAAGGAAAATAGATGTGTATAAAACCACTCACCCGCTTCTTCGCGAGTTTCCGTGCTCGCTTGTCTTGGGCGTTTCTCAACAGTTCAACGACACGGCGCTCATATGGGGCAAGACCGGCGACTTCCTTAATGATATCACGGACGAACTTAGTGCGACGGGAAAGATGGCCCTTTGTCCGCGAGATTCGGGGCTTGGTAGTGTTGGCAGTGGTTTTCTAAGCAGACAGCAAAAATGGATATTAGTTCCTCATATTCATGATACCATGCTCTGTCGTCGGTTTGCTGTTCGCGTTGTTTTGACCATGGATATATTGTAATTTCCATTCGAGACCGGTCCAGCAACATTCAAGCAACATGAGATTGCCAACGAAGGAGGGAACAAGCAAAACGGAAACGGGCAGATTTGAACGTACATGGCCTTTGTTCAAGCCGAGGATGATACCGGAGCGTTCCTTCGCCATCTCGATCGTTGACGACGGGGTGTTGGTGATGGGTGGTGCGGAAGACTGTCGTTCGTCGATGTCGTTGTCGTCGTTCGGAAGAGGTTGAAATGTCTAAGTTCCAGCCATTGAAAGTTTCGGTTGGATGAGGCTCAAGTGCGTAGCGAGAAACGAGGGTTTAGGGTTTAGGGCTTTAGCCCTTCCATTGCCTAAAAAGGCAAGGTACAGTCAGCCACCCAGACTTGTAACAACATCTAGTTACCTTCTGCTTGTTGCTGTGGCCATTGTCAGATATGGGACTCTTCCTCGATCCGCTTCTAGACTACAACATGGCCGTCCGGATGTTGGGATGCTGAAATACAAGCTAGATTTGGCTAGAGATGAACCTCTGTAACTTCTGCTCCCATCCTCAATTCAAATGGATTTTTCGAATGTCAACTCCCATATATTTTATTAGCAACTCTACGCCTGCTTGCATATCCCCCAATACATATCTTGAGTTTCGAATGCGGCAAAGTTTACACAAGCAACAGAAAAATGTTGGAAAGGACCAGATATCTTTGATAATTCATAGAATTTCAGTGGTTCTGTTGATTTTTTACTACTGTACTCGTCCTGTCTTACCTTATCTTGTTTCATGATGATCAGGAACAGCCTCAGTCTCTATTTGTTGACCCGTGTCAGACTCAGATTGTTGCCAGGATATTGTTCAGAGAATATCTACCTGGAGAACTTGTGTGAATTTTCTCTGTTTGGAATCAAATGATCAAATGATCAAATGATCAGTTCTACAATGCTTGTCGCTTTTGAGATCTAATCTATTTGACATTATGTACTTCTGGCCATCCTCTGAGCTGTTCCCCGATTTTATCTACGATGGAGCTATTAAATTTCTTGCTTAAAAAATCCAACTGGATGTCAGAACCGTGATTTACCACCCGCGATCTACGTTGATTCCCCATCCGATAGGAAATGACATGGAGCATAGACCCATACGACGAGAGCGGGGGTAATCTTGTCACTCCCAACAGCGCGGGCCATAGTAAAGCGGACCAGGATTAAAAGTCCACCGGGCTGAGCGGCAATACAAATATGGTGTATCGGATATGCCGGGACAACGCATCCTAAAGGATCGACGGTAATTCCGTGGCTCAGTAAATCAATTCGGTAATCTGGGTTATATGAACAACTTGACGCGGTTATCCATCACAATGTCTCAATAACCAGTGGCTTGTTCTCCGAAATCTATCTCGAGCGGTGTGGCCTAGTTCGTCACTCGGTCACCAACCACGGTCCAACATGAACATGAGGCAATTGAAGACTCATGGTATCAAATAGACGCTTTCCCGGAACTCCTAGTGCGGGCGAGATTGAAATCCTTTGATTTGACTAACAGAGCGTTGGGTATTGTATATGCTTCTAGAACTTGGTGAAAATGGTAACTAACAGTACAAGTTTAAACGACTCTATTCCAGAGTTTGAAACCCCCAATGAGGAACTAGAAACGATACCGCGAAGGCGGGGATTCGGTTTTGGAAGAACGACTAGGACAGGAGGACGTCGTAATTGAAATTGCGATGCTGAAGGTGTTACAGACAGCAAATGAAGCTTTGTACAAGACGTGTAGAATTAGCTGAGCTGCACTCAAAGAAGTGAGCCACATAGAGATACAGTAGGTGTTAGAGAAGAGAATCGTACAATTCAGGATTGCCCATTGAAGGAAGGGCATAAACTATAACTAATACATGTATATTTCTTACTTGGTATTGTTATTTAATTTAATTTTTGTTCAGGCGAATTAACTAACTAATTAACTACTCAGAGTCACTACTCCGTAATTGCAACCCTCTTTCTTTGGGGCCGGCTCCCTCATAGTCCATGCCAACCAGCCGGCTTATTATTACCTCTCTAAAATTTCTGGTTTCTCCCACAATTCGGTGAGTTTGTGGACACTTTCACCGATGCTTCTCTTCGTTCTAGGAATGAAAGCTATTGGTCCCAGATGCGGAAGAGCTCTTGTTACCTGCTAACGCCTTTGGCAATGAAAGGCCAGACATTATATGCATGCATAAATGATCAATCCAGAGGGATGATCTCATTTTTATTTAGTTCCGAGAATGTGAGGTTTTGCTTTTTCTTCAGGACCCTTCATGAATTGATGGATGACGGTTGTGACCCACAGGGAAACTGAACTGGTCCGCACATTGGAAAGGGACCAGACCAAATTTAATTTTATTTGAGTTTTTCTCCCCTTTCTCTCGTCATCCGTGACGATCGCGACCCAAGCCACAAGGTAATGAGGGTCTGGCACTCTCTGCCCAAAGCTCATCCGGTCCTAGCTGCTGTAACCAATAGAAAAATTCTGGCTGGCCCAAAACTGTTGCTAAAAGGGCACACTTGCGGAGGGCAAAGTCTGTCAGGGAGAGCCAATAAGAGCAACGCCTTGCGTATTTGCGGGGGAATGAAAAGGATGTTGCCCGGGCATCAGATGTAGGGTTCCTTTGCTTCGGGATGTCTTCGCCGATACGATAAAAAATGATAAAGGGATCATCCCTCCATTCTCGAACAGCAGTTAACTTATTATATTGTATTAGTCAAATGTCATAACTTATCTGGTCGTGTCATATTGGCGGCGGAGCCTTGGGGTGAAAAGATATAATAATAGATCCAATCTTGGGCTGCCGCAGTACGCGTAAGGTTTCCCAGAACCTGATGTCGTTGACAGCCGGAGCCAGCCGGACAGTAATGCCCCGGCCTAGATTTCGAGAGACCGCACTTGTGATTTCTTAGCATTGTTTGGTGAGCATTGCCGGGTGAAGAGACGATCCTCCTTGCTTCTCGCCGTTGCGCAGGGAGATGCATAATCCTTGAAACAGGCCGTGGATTGCAGCAAACTACCAGCTTGCCAGAGCCTCTTTTTTCTTCTGTCCCTTTTCCACTGTTGCTCATCCCAATAGCAGTCGTGATTAACTAACTATTAACTGCAACTAGGTACTGTGAAGGTGAGCCGCTTGTTATTGGTGGATGATCCCCTTTTTCCTTTAACATGCATGCCACTCTCTGGGCCTTCCGCTTCCCCATACAACTAACAATATTAAGACACCAGCACCTTTGATATATATCCCCCATCATGCTTATTTCCCTGTTTCCCTGTGCTTATGATCATTCTTCCTGCAAATTCTTTACCGTCTCGGGTTTTCAGCGCAAAAAAAAAAAAAAAGAAAGAAAGAAAGAAAGAAAGAAAAAAGGAAAAAGGAAAATAAAAGAATAGAAAGAAAAGAAAGAAAAAGAGGAGGAAAAGGCACTGGCTCTCACTCCCTTCAAACAGCTATTTCCAAAGTTCTCTGGCGAGAAGAATTGTCCCCCTCACCTATCCATCCCGTAGTATTATTATAATCGTCTAACTTTGCTATGTTCTCAAGAGGAAATCGGTAGTTCGGCTATATCCAGAGCCAGCTTTCATCTAGAAGCCTTATACCACGACACAATTATCGCAGCTACCTGATATACCTGGGTTGATAGTGGTCCATATCCGGATGGGCCTCTCCCTGCGCCGACGAGCATGCTGAGGGCATTTTGCAGTTGCTCAGGAATGCTGTCCTCGGGTCTGGGAATATCGTGTCATTTTGAGCTCTCGACATCTCAAAAACAACACCCGGCCAAGTCTCCGTCCGTCCTACGAGAACACGATTGCTGCCAGGTTTGGGTGAACGGGCAAAGTCCGTAGGACCATGTCGGCTACTTTTGGAGCTGGATGCTCCAACCATATTATGGCTTCGGCCTTATCATTTCTCAATCGCCAGACCCTTTGTGTTCCAGGGCTATACCCCGGGTTAATAGCTTCCGCTGGAGCACCAGAATTTATGAGTGGCATGACGAGACACTATGAAGTTGGACAGAGCAATGCGATTGAGCGTTTGTTGAAATTGAAGGAAGAGTTGAGAGATTCCGAGACTGAAGCCTTTTGGAAATGTTTGATGGAGGGAATAGCGGGCATTTGCAATGCCCAATGCTCTTTCGTAGCCCAGTCAAATCCTGAGCATGCTCAGACTCAGGGTGGCTACGATACGGTAATGTCAACCTCAGAACCCCCCGAGTTCCCCTATTTAGGTGTCTGTCTGTATTACAACGACGGCCAATCAATTACAGCCATGCACAGAAACTACAAATATTTTTCTCGAGCTATACCCTGCGACTTCATGAAGCATGATAAGGTCTATCTCATTCCGGAAAATTTAGCTCTGCACATGGAAAGTGACCCGAACATGTTTCCATTCCCTATGGATGCCTACTTAGCGGTACCATTGTTCTCCGACGGAAAATGTTTCGCTCACTTTGGGTTGATGTGGACGGTTGACGGTCGTGAGAAATGCGATGTATCCTGGGCATATCTTGAGATGATCCTACATTCCATGGAAGATTTAGTACAGCACCGCCTCCTAAACGAGCAGAGCTATAAGAAAGCAGTGTCTGTCCAGGTTAAGGATGAACAGCATCGACGAGGGAGAGGGAGTAGAGCTTCTGCCTATCATTCTGCTGCCGGCGCACACTCTGGCATACACTATTTCAAACCATATGCGCGAAGCTTATCCCACGAGCTGAGGACACCAATGCAAGGTGTTGTTGGAATGCTGGATGTCATGCATGCCAACGTGCAGGAATCAATGGAGAAACATTTCGACCCACTTTTAAACCCAGTATTTCAGGAGCTCAAAGACAACATCGAGGCCATTCAAGGTTAGTTTCAAATTTTTAGTCTTTTGCTGGTGCCATTCCGGCCTGGATTTTTGTTGCTAAATAGTGCTTGGAAACCTACAGATAGCGTTCGGAGAGCAGTGGAGGCCGCAGATAATATCGTGCACGCTTATGATCTGAATATGCAAGTGCCTGAAACCCCCGAAAATGGTTCCGAGAAGGATTACTCTCCCGACCCCTTTCGGTCTTTCAGTGGGGCATACGATTCTCGCCCAAACATTCTCATTGAAGGGAGCAATATTGCCGTAAATCCTTACAAACGGAGAAGGAGCAGTACTGTCAATTGGAGTTATACCTCCCCATTTACATCTAAATCATCAGAACTGCCTTCTCTAGAGCTACCTCGACGAGAGCTCTCACCCCGCAGTGCAGGTGTCAAGACTGTGGTTGAAGAGAGTGGCAAGATTGTTCAAGCTGACCCACGGGTTGAGGAAGACAGCGAAGTCAAAGAAGCTCTGATAAATGCACGGCGTCCTTCGATATCCGGACAGTTCTCATCCTCCAGCGTATCTCTTAGGCAGAGGGTTTTCCCTCCAATGACACTACAATGCACCAGAATCCGTGAGATTCTCCAACCCTTAATTAACGAATCGCTTCACGTCGGTGGCCGCCCGGATTCTGCTCTAGTTGAACCGACTATGTTCGGTCAAAATATTGAGATTAAATCAAAGTCTTCGGATGGGCGAGCTTCAACGAAAATCATCCAATGGTCTGTCGACCCGTCAGTGCCGGACATTTTATACGTTGATGAAAGGGACTTTACCAAGCTGGTGTCTTGCGTCTTCATTAATGCTCTCAAGTTTACAGAATCTGGAGAAATCACACTTCATACGAAGTTGAACACTTCGGGTAGGTGTGTTTTGATCAAGATCAGTGACACTGGGACCGGTATTCCTGAGGCTTTCCTTCCAAACCTTTTCCGGCCGTTTGCTCGTGAGGACGACTCTACAACGAGGAGCAGGGAAGGCCTAGGACTTGGCTTGTTGGTTGCAAAGGGCCTGTGCAGAAAGCTTGGTGGTGATTTGAGATGTCTTCGTTCATCTACTAGGGAACCGGACCGTGGATCTGAATTTGAAATCCGGCTACCCATAAACCCCAACGACTGTCTCAGTCGACCAGGGACACCGCACGCCGAGCCTTCGCCTCCTCAACGGAATTCCAATGTATCCCCAGGCATCAACACTGCAACGGAAGAATTGAAAACGGTCAGAAATAGCCCAGAAACTTCTCATTTGCATATCTCCCCAAACCGTCCATTCCCCTCAACAGCGAACAGTGGCGCTACGAAAGGGGGTTGGCTGGGTAGCCCCAGTCGTCTACCAATGTCGTCCAGGAACTCTAGTCTTCTCTCCTGGAACAGTTTTGACCGACAGCTGGCCGACAAACAACCCCTCACCTTCCTCGTGGCAGAAGATAACAAAATAAATCGACGAATTCTCGTCAACATGCTCTCTAAATTAGGATACAATGATGTCTACGAGGCGTTTGATGGTAGAGAAGCAGTTCGCATTATGGGCGATATCCTATTGAATGACATCCCCTCCGGTCCAACACAGCCTCAAAGCCCCTCCAGTCGAAGTTTCTCTGAAAGGAGCACAGATACCACGACCTCTCTCATAGAAAATTGCGAAATTTCTTTGCTTCATGAACCCAACAATCAAATTCCCACAAGACCGAAATTCGTCGATGTCATCCTCATGGATCTCTGGATGCCAGGCATGGATGGCTACCAAGCAACCGAGAAAATACTAGATATGGTCGAAAACTATCGCGTTCGACTAAAGAAGCAGAAGCCGAACATCCTGCTTCCACCCATCCCAACTGTTTTGGCAGTAAGCGCTGACGTGACGGACGAAGCATTGAGCAGGGCTACGATGGTAGGCATGGAAGGTTACATGACGAAACCATACAAATTATCCGATTTGGAGAGGCTGATTGTGGAGTTCTGCGGTCATCGCCAGTCGTGGGAAATGTGAAATGAATTTTCTTTCTTTCTTTCTTTCTTTCTTTCTTTCTTTCTTTCTTTCTTTCTCTATCCCTTTTTTTTAGATTTTTTTTTAATTTTCTTTTTTCTTCTTTTCTTTTTGGCTTCTTATTACTTTGATACCTGGTCATCTCTCGTTTGGAAATATTATGGTTTGGTTTTTGGGGAGTTTTCCCGCCATATACTGGGAGGCGTTGTGAGAAGTACCTTTTAAAGGCAATCAGATTATTTTGTTAAAATGTTTTCTTTATTTCATTATTTTTTTTTTCTTAGCCTGTTTTATTTAGAAAGCCCAAGAGAGGAAGTCCCGCATTATTTTTTATGAGTACAAGACATTAAGAGGTCCACGGTGGGAGAGCTGAAATACATATATAGATTAGGGAAATCTTTGAACGATCCATGGATCTCACTAGAGGATGTTAATCCCTCCCTCTACTGATTGTTTTGCTTTGCATCCTTCTCGAACTCTTGCGCGAGATGTTCTCCGTCCTTTATTACCATCCTGAAGAACTCTCTCTGGCTGGAGGTGGTAGTTATCCCAATGCAACGCTTCATTATTTTATCTTTAATTTGCCTTAGTCTTCTGCAACATTCTCCTTTGAGATCATCACTCCCACCTGTATTCTTCATCTACCTCCCACGTTTCAGATTTATTTGTTTCTTATTTTTATTTTATTTTTTAGTTACGGTAGCCGTTTAGCATCTGTCTGGATAATTGCAGTGTTGGGTTTCCTCACTTCCGATTCCTACGGTACTGGTGCTCGTATAATATAACACCAATGTGTGTATAATACTCGGACCCATTTTTGTGGATTTAGAATTATTTTTTTTCTCTATATTTGGATTTTGAGAGCTGGTTGTACCACTTAGAAAAGCTCTTTCAACCTGTCGATGCATTGCAGATAAAGTAACCAACGGGCGTTGGGCTATTCTAATGAAGCATCACTATTTAATTAACGAAATAGTTATTATATTTGTTGTGGTCATTTTGCTCTTATTATCAAATAACCAACTCCCGCTTCACAATCGTAAATTCATTGTTCCAAACCTAGTGACATCCCCCCTCCTATCTCCGTAAGAGGGTTCCCCTCACCTTGAACCAGCCAATTGATCTCAAAAAATTGTTGGTGTTTTCTCTCATGCATCCAATCAACAGCGCCTGCTCAATAATTAGACAAGAAGAGGAGGTCATCAAGACGGCTGATTGTTTCTGTCCTCTGCTTTTCCAAAACTCGTTTCCGTTGCGCCACATCTGCGGCAGAGATCATTCAGCTCTTGAATTAAACTTGCGGGTTTATAAGTCATGTTGAAGTAACTAACTAACCCGCTCAATTATTGACGTCAAGTTACGGTTGGGAACTTGCATGAATCTAAAAATTCCCACAGGCTGAGCTCAGAGTTGCAACAACGTCCATCGCATCAAGTCTGCACACACCTCCAACATGAAACTGCAATACCTAGTCGCTTTGCTATCTGTGCAGGCTGTCCCGCCTGTAACGGCCGGCTATATACACCAGTATGCCCTTGTAGGCAGCGTGATCAGACAACCCATAGACCAGAAGACTCAAAGGGAAAACCTGAACAAGCTAGTTTCAGACTCACCATTACTCTCTCTGCATCGCACGATCTGCGAAATCGAATCAGTCTCCAACCGTGAAGGTGCTGTTGGTGAAGTGCTGCTCAAATATCTGAGGGATCGTGGCTTCACCGTTGAGAAACAGATCGTCCCTGCTGATAGGGGAACTAATAGCACCGCTGAGCGTTTCAACATCTGGGCATACCCGAAAGGCTGTCCGCGACCCAAGATCATCTTGACTAGCCATATCGACACAGTGCCCCCACACATTAAATACAGCCTTCATGCACCGGATGGTGACTTCGACCGCGCGAAAGTCCGCATCATGGGCCGCGGCACCGTGGATGCAAAGGCCAGTGTTGCCGCGCAGATCATCGCGGCTCTTAAGCACCTGAAATCGAACAAGGACATCCCCCTGGGTCTCTTGTTTGTCGTCAGTGAAGAAGTTGGCGGGAGTGGCATGGTCCATTTCTCAAACTCCGAGCTCAACACCAACCCGCCCTTCTTCCACACGCTCATTTTTGGCGAACCGACAGATCTCACGCTGGTCGATGGCCACAAGGGCAATCTGCGTGTTACTATCGAGGCAAAGGGCGTTGCGGCGCATTCTGGCTACCCCTGGCTCGGCCGCAGCGCTATCTCAGAAATCCTCCCCATTCTCGCCCGCATGGATGAATTGGGTGATATTCCCGTGGAAACCGGGGGACTTCCCTCTAGCGAGAAATACGGCCGTACAACGGTGAATATCGGCACCATAAAAGGAGGCGCAGCAGACAACGTCGTGCCAGAAACTGCATCGGCTAGCATTGCTGTGCGCCTTGCAGCTGGCACTCCGGAGGAGGCAGAAGAAATTATCAGGAGGGCGGTCCACGATGTCTCGGGTGGAAGCACAAATATCACCGTCAACTTCCCCGATAGCATGCCATACCCTCCTATCGACTTGGACGTTGATGTTGAAGGATTCGATATCTCAACGGTGAATTACGGGACGGATATCCCAAAGCTGGAGATACATGATGAGGAGTTGGAGGTGAAGGTTAAGCGCTATTTGTATGGACCGGGAACAATATTTGTGGCTCATGGCGCTGAAGAAGGGATTACCGTGGGTGATTTGGAGAAGGCAGTTGAGGGGTATTCTAAGCTGATTGACGCGGCTGTCAAGAGGGGTTGGCCCAGGGAGGTAGTGGTGAACTAGTACATTTCTTGGTGGCTAAGATATACTGAATGTGAGGATATACCTTTTCTTTGGATTTAAAATACTTTCGCATTCCTGGGGCTTCCCACTGCTGTTAGTGGGGGACTACATTTGGGCAGAGCTGGCGCTCTCTTGGTTCGCATTTCAAGAAGCATTATCCAACTTTCCGGCTTTGTTTTCGGGTTTTGACATTGGTTGGCATGATTGAGTAGAATGGTGGACTTTTAAACTCGTACCTGGTGGTGTTGGCTGATAGCAGCATATCATATATAGATCAAACCACAGAATGGAACTTTTTTCAATATCGCCAGCGCCTTGGGCGAACGTTCAGATAAATCCGAAATTAGCCAAGTAACACGAGGCATTCCTCCACAAATATGGTTAGGTTTGCAGGAAAGGTCTAGGGATGGGATCGACATTATGGAACGGGGATCTCTATAAGGGGAAGAATTATAAGGATAATACCATGCAGTACAGGGGATGAAACTGAGAATGTTACAATAGGGAAACGGATGAGATGGAAGAGATATGGATTCAGAAAGCTGTTGGAAGGATAGACATCAGATCTTCTGCTAAGCGGGTGGGTATTCAACCAATTTAAAGAACGGGGATGGAAGAAGGGAAAAATGCAGTCCAAAAGAACACCCGTCCCAGATTGAGAAAATAATCACAGAGATAAAATAACTCAGAAAAGAAGACAAGAGGTATGAAACAGCACTATGAAGACTAACTCCCCTTCCCATGTTGCCTCTTCCACCCAGTCTTAAACAACCTCCCCATCCGAAACCTTGGGAACACATGCGCCTCCGTATTAAACACCATTCTATCCAACGGCAAAAAGTCCCGTTCCGAAAAGAGCAAATAAAAATACTTCAGCGTCTCCGCCAGCCAGAAACTCTCCATGTTATCCCGCTTCACGGCGGGTATTACATCAACATTTTCCAGCGACGTGAACGACCGAATATGTGGCGTGGCCTTCTTCGCGCCGACGCTCTTGTTATAATAATAATCTTGGGTAAGGGGTTCTTCATCCTCTACGATGATGGAGGTGTGGTTCATGAAGTTCTTGAACATCTGCCAACCCCAGTGCCGGTACGTATCGTCTTCGAGGATGCGGTACATGTAGAAAAGTGACTCGACGGTCTCGGGGCGTTGGAGATTGTGCTTGTCTTGCGGATGGATGATGATGTCCTTGCGCCACTCGCTGTTTTCGTTCGTGAGCGGGTAGAGAGGTTTGGAGATCATGTGTTGGTCCGCAGTGGAGGATTTAATGGCGGAGGATTTTGTCAAGTCTGGAAACACGTTTTTCATCATGCGAGACGGACTGTCAAGTTGGAAATAGGTGATTTCGGGCGCGAGGCCGGTTGCGGTTGCGAGGTAGGTGGCCCAGCAGGTTTTCATGAGTTCTTTGGCGAGGAGGATTTCTTCCTCCTGTCTGCGGCCCCAGTCTGGGGACTTGCGGGCTTGGGAGATCGGGATGCCACCTGTTGCGCCTAGGGCGATGGTGCCTGGCATGAAGCAGACGAGGTGATCCATTTTAGGGACCAATTCATGGTTCAGGCCGTTTGGTCGTTCGCCTAAGACGGTTAGAGATGCATGCTTTGTGTATGTAATTAGATGTTTCCGTATGCCCATGAGCGCTTCATTCCACATGTCGAGGTATATTGGCTCTTCATGTGAGGTTTGTAAATACTGTTTGATGAGGTATTCTAAAAACCAATGTGAGAATGAGAGTGCCAAAAGATACGTGTAATCAAGTGGATGAAACCTACCATAATATGAATCCCCTCGACTTCCAAGCCGGATATTTTGGCCCATGAATTTCCCTGTTTCTGGCTCAATGAAAATAGGAACAAGACCATCCTCCATCCCATTCTCTTCAATAACCTGCATAACCTTTTCCGCTTTCTCCCAATAATTTGTCTCCCCGGTAAGTTTCGCAAGATACTTGAATTCCAACTGCAAGGTGGATACCTCCGCAGTCGAGGACGCACCGTTATCCGTATGTGACTTCACCCCTACACTCGTATTAAGGTTGATACTTGCATATGGTATGCCAGATGGCGATTCAAAAGCACCAAGCAGGCGATCAGCAAGATCTGTTGCTTTTTCAATGTACAAGTCCTCCCCGGGACTTCCTGCGTCATCATCCGCAATCGGGGCAAGATTGGGGTAGGTCGTGGACAGATAATGCGCGGAGAGAAGGCCTCCGAGCATTCGAATGGTCGTCTCGAAGGTGTTGACAGGATGGTCCTGGTTGTAATGGAGAGAAGTGTGAATCCACCTTCGAACATTTTGTACACGAGACGTGAGGTTCATGATCATCAAGGTGTCCAGAGTATCGACAATTATCCAGCCCAATCCGGCCTTGCCCCAGATCATATTCTCCCCTTTTTTGCTAACGGGTTTATATATATCATGACCTGCAATTATAAAAAAAAAAAAAAGAGGTACAGGTCAGCCTTAAATCCTTTCAATCAACCCAGCTCGCAAACATACCCCAAGCATGACGCGCATAATCATCCCAACTGACTATAAGCGCATCGCGCACCTTCTCCCTCCTCTCCGCCCAATCAACACTCCCGTTTTTCTCACCGGCCTCCCGCCCCATGGCAGCCTGCACCCAATTCCACAAGTTTCCACCATGTTTCCCACGCTGCGCTCTCTCCATTTGCGATGGCGCCGTGTTGCTCACCAACATCCACACGATGCACAGAAAAACCAGCCCAGCGACAACCCAGCCAATCCTACGCCGTCTTCTCTTAGAGCGCCCCACTGCATAGTACGGCTTGTCCTTGTACATGGGTAGATCGTCATTGTTCGGGTTCACGAAGCTGTTGAAGGAGAAGTCGCTGTTTCGAGCATTTGTTCTTTTGGAGCGCCAGTAGCCATCTTCATATTGGCGTTGGGAGGAGGTGAAGGAGGGTACGTTGCGCGGGAGTTGGAAGGCCATTTCCTTGGTTATTTACTCTTTGTTCTTGTGACTGTGCCAGTTTACGCAATCGGAGGAGTGGGAGCCCTTTTTGGTTGCTCCGGCCGTCCCATGGACGACAAATGTCGCTGATAAGTGTTCGTCGTTCCCCGTCAGTCTGGTGTATGGTGCTTGCAATGAACAGCTATACGGTTATTTTACGCGTCGAAACCGAAGTAAAAATAACAGTAGAGCCGTAGAAGCAGTTATGTGTATCCCCGCAAAGCTGTTTTGTAATGAATGAATGGTCAGTAAAAGATGCTCTGCTTTTCTTGCTATTATGCACAAGGGTTTAGGTCATTCTGCTTCGTCACTCCTTGTCCTTTACGTGCATCTTAGAATATTGAAATATATGCTTCAAGCATTGAACTTTACCAAATTGTGATTTATTTTCTCCAGCCACAGGGAAGGCAAAAGTTTGGATATATCTCGCGTCCGGCAAAAGCTTGTGCTAGGTGGGATAACGCTATTTGGACCAAGAAAAAAAAAAAGAAAAAAAGAAAGAAAGAAAAAACGAAACCACCACCAGTGTCGTCATTGGTCAGACTAGAGATTGCTGATAATCTGGTTACTCCGTACTGCTGACAATGTGGCCGGATTGCACAGCCATGGTTTTGGGAGGGAGGATTGGGTTGGAAAAACGAAGATTTGGTAGGGAGATCTCTCCGTTCATGCACACAAAGCAGCCTAAAAGCCAGCGGGGTGCTGGGAGTAGCTCTCCCCCTTCTTTCTAAGCAACCTACGTCTCAATTGAGGGTTGTTCTGTATTAGTATTGCGAGAAGCTGGGAGATATGCAGAGTTTACAAGGACAAAGAAGCACAGCAATGTTCAATCTCACTTGCAAAAGTAGTCTAAGCTGCTTGCTGCCGCTGATTGTTGGTGGATGTTTGTCATGTTTGCCAGCAGACTATTGTGCAAATGTCTCCTTTCATGCTTGAAAACTCTTGGTTATATGCTTGGATGAATCGATGAGTCGAAATAATTATTTATAGTCACGATGTCTCTATCAGACTTTTATCTACGTGAATATAGTGAGATGCTGATGCATCTGGTTAAGAAGAATTTGATCTCGCACACATCCCCTTTATGCTCTTGATGGTAGTGATTTTATATGTCTGAGAGACCCTTACCTATAACGAACTCGAATTCTAATCCCTAATCCTAACCTTCTCCTGGCCCATAATCTACCCTTAACTCTGGTATTGAGGCTGGGGAGGGTGAATAGAGATATGTAGTAGTCATATGTGTGGTGTGTGCAGAAGATGTAGACTGTTTAATTTTGATGAGCCCCATATATCATGGGACGTCGCGGATATGACAATATCAGTTTTTGCATATGGTCTGTTGTACACTAATCCTTGGATTTGCTACAACCAGGGATTATCATTTAAGAGGTAAGATATTTAAAAAAGGATGAAGGATGCAAATTTGCTTGATGATTCTACTCTCTCAAGGGCAAATGCAGACCAAGCCATGCCCGTTCGACTTTACACGAGCTCCCCTGGGGGTGGGGTGGGACGGGACGCAAAAGTACCAGAACCGTAAACCACAACAAGAACCATAGCAGGATACGGAATATTACAGTTTCTGGTACTCCAATTTACCCTCCAGCTTCTTCGACTCAGCGACCTTGCGCACAGCCTTGTTGAAATCGTCCTGGTTCACCGTATCCCGGTAGTCCTTGATGGCGAACAAACCGCTGAGAGTTTACCTGTTAGCTTTTTTCTGGTAGATCATTCTGGTAGATCATGCAAATACGTAAGGGATAAAAAAAGGGGAAAAGGTAAACTCACGCTTCCGTGACCACATTCCTCAAATCAGCCCCGTTCAACCCATCACTCATCTTCACAATACTCTCAAAGTCAATCTCCCCCTCAATCGCCACTCCACTAGCATGAATCTTCAAAATCTCCAACCGCCCCACCTCATTAGGCAGCGGGATTTCGATCTTGCGATCCAACC